TATACATACATAGCCCCGTGTGGGTGTCGATAGCTTCAAAACTGGACGCAACACAAGAAAACGATATCCCACAACTTTTGTTACTTACTTTAGAAATAAGCTTATTGTTAAAGGTTCGTAATACCTTGTTATCTCATTAAAATGCTATTTTTTCTAACTTTACAAACAACAGATTTACGGCTTTCGCATCCTCTCATTATCAGCTGAAGTACAAAGGCTATTACTTTGACACTTCTAACAAAACACTACGCATCCTGTCAGACCATCTGGCGACACCTCCAGTGACAGCCCTGCAGCATCCTAGCCAAGTTATTTTAAACCTTACGCTTAGCACAGAAGGTGACATGGTGAGTAAAACTATAATTGTAAATGTTTAGAACAGTGCAGAATAGTTGGAACAATTAGCGTTTGTTTGGTGGGTCCGAGACGTGGCCAGGGGTCGACTGGCGGCCACATGTCCGTCGCGGGCACACACACACCAGCACCGGCACGTAGCGGCGCAATGTGCTGCACACAATGGCGACCACGAACCGCTCCACGTATCTATGTGAAGGTGCAGCTACATGGAATATTTTTCTGCAACATGTATAAAGCTGCGACCATATAACCAACATACGTGACATGTCAGCGTATACCTAGCCAATATTGCTAGGTAGTCCATTAGTTGCCTTAGATACTGTAGTAAGAAATGTCTGAATAAAGGTGTGATACAAAAAGTGGTTCTGTAGATAACATCCAAGCAGCTCATACATCAACATGGAGGAGCGATAGCTGGATGTTTAGAATATGAAATGTATTATCAGCGCGCGGTATCTGTCGATATCCTTGCCAGTGCCAGTTCGGTCCCGCGCGCCGCGTCCCGCCAGATTAGGGAGTGTGCTACCGATAACCTCGGGACGCTCGGTGAGCTGATTACACTGTTTTTATTCCGCACCGGCTTGTTTATCGCCACACAAAACTATTCGTTGATAGTTTTAAAGGGATATAATGCTCTTATAGATAACATTTCATGGAAACCAATTTGTTAGCGCAGTGCTGGGATGTTCCTTCGATTTTAAACATAACACGTCCATCCTCAGTGTTGAAGTGGCCCAGGTACTCTGACCTAATAGATATTTACTGGGTATGCAATATCTACCTAACAAAACTCGAGCCACTATTTTATTCCAACATAAAAAATAAGAACAGAACTCCCGCAGCATCCGAAAGTTCGTTAAATTGAACAATAGCGGAACTAATAATAGGTGAGCATGAATGCGGGCATCGGTAACATGCAGCGAACTCCGCGTACCGGTGCCGAGGGGTTATGCAGGCCAGATACTGGCGGACAGTCTGGCAGTCTGGCTGCTACACCAGCGGCCTGCAGCTGCAATAATCACCGCTTATTAACGCACTTACTTGGGATTAAGCAATTCCCAGTTCAAAGTCAAATCCTGTATTTCAATAGAAAGAACACCATTAAAGGCTCTTTTTAACGCCAAAAAAATATGTTGAAAAGTGTCAAAAAGATTGTACCTTTGAAATACCTATTTAGTATTTTTTTAAATACCTAGTTTTTAATTACAAAGGATACATACCACATTATTGGAAAATAACGACTTACTATTATACACCTATTTGTATACTTGTACTTAATTAACGTACACGGACGAGCTACAATTGATTACACAAACTACAAGACACAAGGAACCCGAGCGTTCATTCATCGCATATTGCCGACGTGAATGAATGGGCGTGTACACAAATGATGTTTGTTTGACAGCGACAATAGAGAGCTGTCACTGTCCTCTTGGAGCCGTAAAACGATAAAGTTACCTGTGTTTGGCGAGCGGCACACCGATGGCGGCCAGATGTGGCGCGCTCGCCAGACTCCCACGATGCTAGGTGTACCACACAATACGCGTTATATATCATCTTTGGCGACTTGAAAAACTGATTTGTTTAATTTGCATCATTAAGTATCATCCAAGCTAAACTCTCAACTAAAAGTCTCACATTGCGTGGGACTTAATTATGGTTCATTGTACCGATTGGTTTTCCATTGCAACAAAACTTAATCTCTTACAGAATAGCAGCTTACGCAAACACCTTTTTCTTTTAAAACATAAAGCGGCTCACAACCTGAAGTATCAGGTGAAGGTAAGCAAGGCCACACCAAATAAGTCAAGGAACTTGGTGTTACCGGCTTTTGGGGATTTTTGCCCCACGCCCCACTACAATCATAACTTCTCCAATTAAACGATAATAACCTTAGAAAATCTATGTAATGGGTAAGAAGCGCCTTCCAAAAATGCAGTTTTTAAAACTATTAAAGCACATTGCATCCTTAGCGTGATGTGGCGAGCTGGTGCTGCTCGATCTCCTCCTGCGGAGGCCACACGTGGAGTCTGTGTTTCCCGTTCAATAGAAAGAGACTACTTGCGACCTTTTGTTGAGTAAATACTAATGTATGGTAACCCCGGCTCGTTACCCTTACACGTGAATAACACAAATAGTATTATTACTCAAAGATAGTAATCAGGGTCTATGGTAAACAAAGTAGAAAACTGACGTGTCAGCCCAATTAGTTTAATATTAAATAGCTACTAATAATTACATTGAATTTGCACAAAACAAGATGTACTCATATATTCATAACGTTCACGTTTTACAAGTCCTGCAAACTCCGCCTAGAACAATCGGTGTGGGTAATTAACGCTAAACAACACCTGGCAAGTAATTAGTAACGTGTCACCGTAGACGGAGAGCGCAGTAAATGAAGTTACTTGAATACATTGTATGGCCAGTTTACGGCGGCCATAAAACAAGACGACGGACAAACCTGAAGCATTGTGATGCGCGTGCGCACGTGGCGCACACGTGTGCGTACTACAAGGTGCTATTGTGTGCATTACACAACGGCACACCGATACAGCTCTTTATCCTAGAGAGCCGAGCTGAGCACGATGCGGGCAACCCGTGCGACACTACCTACTTTTGTTTTAAGACACAATAATTGTCGACACAAATTTATTGGAATAACGACTTACGTGAATTAACTAAAAAGCTTTACTAGATTCAAGTTACAGCGCGCCTCGACGACGATGAAGACTCGACACATGCACGCATCAGTTGGAGTCTCGATAAGACTTGAATAGTTTCAAGTCTTAACGAGACTCCAATTGATGCGTGCATGTGTGAATCAACTGACAAAGGTTCTACCTAGTGGAAGAACCTTTGTCAGTTGATTCACGTTGTTAAGTCGTTATTTTGAATAAAATATATACTTACGTTCATCCCTTCCGAGGTTTGATCTCGTATGGTGATCTGTGATTTTGCAAGACGTCCATAGTGGAGACGGTGAAGTTAATCGCTATCCTGCCACCAGACGGTAAGTTCGCTCGTTAACTCGCCCTTTATGGGCTACTATTTATTATACAAATACTGTGCGTATCGGAACACTGTATCTTTATAGGTAAGTAGGTAGAATATGTGCTCACTTAATTTAGGAACAAAAGGCGATTCTTGACTCATTATCTACCAACTTAAAATATTACATCTATTTTTGCAAGAAAAAAAAATTGAAATCAATAACTTTGTGCAAATAATTATGACCACAATTACCTAATTATCTCTTTCAACTACATAACCTGCCTCCCTTTCATAGAAGTACGCGGGCTGCTACCTCTTCAAACCCATCGAAGTAAATTACATGCTCAGAAATAATTGTAAAATCGTACACAAATAAGGGGCCGCGTTTTGATTCCAGAATCCACATACGTATCACAAAAAAAAAGTGTTAGTAGACATTATAATTTCAGCCGGGGTTGCGGGGTAAGCGCAATGAGGCACCGCGACCTCGGCCCAGAGCAGGAGAAGGAACAGGGGGGTTTTTAGTCAGTAAGAGTCTGACACTCCCTCCCGTCCGACCTTGGACAAGAGAAGTCATTTGATGATTTTCCCCTCACAAAAAAAGACATTATAATAGCAACGGGTACGCGGTTTTATCTGATAGGTACACAGAAACATTCCAAATTCATCGAAATATGATTTTAAATGTTTAATTTACTGTCATGCACTTAAATTATTTAATAACAAAATAATTTGCTTATGTTGCACAAATTACACGTCCTGACTACCTACCTATTATACGAATAAAGAGTTTCAATATCTTACTATTTAAATATAGTAAGCCTACCATTTCAATTAGAATCAGTAATGTAATAGGTAATAATATAAAAATACAAATCGTTGCCATTAGAAAATCGTTGTAACTACAATACAATGACATGACGAGAGATTGGTAGAAAAATGTTCAATTTCATTATTTTTACTTCGAACTAACGGGAAATGTGAACCATCGCACTCCTAACGCCATCTAGTGACCAAAAGCCAAACTAATCCTGCAATATTTTGCTCGTATTTACAAGTTTGAAACTTATAAAAAAGTAGGCATGGACCAATCATTTTAAAAATATTATTTTATACATATAAATAAATTTAGCAAGATGTTAATGTTGTTGGTAGACCTAGGTTATAAACAGGTCACTCTTATTTATATTAACAGTCACCTGTGTATAACCTACGTATCGATAAAAATACAATTTACGGGACTACTGTTGTAATATCCAATTGGAAAGATAATATGTAAAGTACGTACTGAATGTATTGTAATTTATTGTAAGGTCGACGTTAGATAGAGACAGGTAGATTCACCGCGGGAAGGTGGAGCGTAGAACATGTAAATAAACAACGCAAAGGTAGAGCCGCAGCCACACGGCGCTCCGACGAGGCAGGCGGCCTGTAGCCGGTGACATGGGAAGGTGTTATGACATGAGCGCCGGTGTATCGTTATTGTAGTCGTGCTGAGACACAGCTCAGCAGTCGCAGTCGGTAGTCGGCTCTACTAATTAAGTATAGGTGGGGGGAGGACGCGGGAGGTGAGAGGGGCGCGCGGCGCGGAGCGGAGGGCGCGGGCGCGCAGGGCGGGGCGAGAGGCGGGCCGGCTTCATTCCGCCGCGCGCCGCGCCGCAACGAGCACGTCAGTCCGCGCGCGCGGGCCATGGTCGCGAGAACCGATGAGAGCATGTTCGGGTGCTATGGTGACAGCTACTCGTACCGCCTGTGGAGCCTGGCCAACGTGTGGGGCGCCTGCCGATGTGAGTAGCGCGCCGCCAGCAGCCCGCAGTACACGTGCCCCCCTCGATACTCAAACTAGGACTTTTACCGCTGACGTCAGCGGAGGCTGTGAAATCTCGGTGTAACACAACGTAGATGCGATTTCTACACCGCGAAGTGCGTACCGCGTTATTAGATAGCCCGTGGCCGCGGTCAGTGACGTGTGAGAACAGAGGTGTCGCTCGATGAAAGTGCAGAGCTCGTTAATGGGAGTTGGCGGTTGGTACGAATGCTTGGCGGCCGGTTGGCTTGCGGACATGAGGAGTAAGCAAGTCCCAACGTCTACCACCTCGGCCAGGCGGCTTGCGGCCCTAAGTAAGCTTCCTTTCTTTTTATTTTAATTTGCATTTTTATATCCTTTCACCTATTTCGCTCATAACATTATTTCCTTATTTTTTTACTGTCACTTACACCTTACCACTCAATTTTCTCGAAGTATTTATCATTTACACACGCGACCAATTACAAAACATTTTAATTTTCTACATCTTATTTTTTAGTGAACAAAACTTTGTAATTTTCATGTACCGATATCTCTAACATCTAAAATTAATCGCTCCTAAACACAGGTGAATATAATTTCACCTTATGGGGTATTAAAATAAATGTCGAGCACGTCTTCATCAGAAATAACCTGTGTGTTTGGTGATCTCCCCTGCTCTCCCTCGGGATATAATTCATCCACTTGAAAATCGGGAACAGGTACACACAGACTTGAAAGAAAGTTTCGTTTGTCGAGGGGAGCCCCGCTCTCCTTCGCTTTAACTCGTAAATGATTATGTTGTTTTAATTCATTTGCTTTTTTCTGTCTTACATTTTTATTTTATTCTTCCTCCTTGAGTGCCGCCTGCCTGGAGTGGATAACATAATATTTGGACGTTTTATGCATTCGTTCGGCCTGCAACGTACTTTATTTCTGACGCGACTTATGAAACACGAACTAATAAATTAAAAACTACTTTGCCACATTCCATCAAAATCGCGCAATTTTGATAAGTGGTTTTCATTTTTATATAAGTATTAAATATATATTTCGTGGTTTAGTGAACCTCCTTAGATTTTGAAACAAACATTAAATATTGAGTGTTAGGTATTTTCCGATCTACTAAAGTATTTTTTACATGATAAGCAGATGAGACGACAATGTTAAATTATTTTAATACAACGTCCAAACAAAAACTGGCATATTATTATAACTACGAATTATTAAGTATAACCAATAGGCTACCTATTTACAAAACGAAATACTGTTCTCGTGCTAATTAATATATTTTTGACGTACCTACCTACTTTCAATAATGCTGTAGGGTTATCAAACTAATATGATATTTAAAACAAGCTTTGCGAACTTTTCATAAATTGTCAAATGTGAAAACTCACGGACTTGTGCTAACTTGGCCCTAGCTAAATGTTCTGACAGTAAGAACGGAATGTGTCTAGTGTAGATATATCTATTATGTTTTGTTATAAATGGAACAATATTAAATAACATTTCATTTGTAAAAGGCCAGGTAAAGCTCACCAACACAGTTAGATTAAGTCATTATCGGTAATTAGGCACTTGTTTGTATTGAGAGTAAATGAGGGTTCTCGTAATTACTTGTATGTTGATTTATTAATTATTTGTCAACACGTCATAGATAGGGACAGCTTCTACTGTGCCACGGAGGTGTCGTGACTCATGGTTTGTGATTCAGCAGATCGCATTTTTGTTGTTTCCACATGTCACCTCCACAAGCACGAACATATATGTGATGTGTGTACACTGCACTCAATAACGTTTAGTTGTCATAGTAAGTAACGTAAATACAGTACAGGTAGCAAATCTACAAATTAATATCTGATATTGATGAATGTCAAATCAATTTACAGTAGTTTTTGTCCGCAAGGATAACTTAAATCACATTCAGTGAAGTTTAAGAATAAGTAAACATGTTATTATTTCTTATTAGATACTCGCTATAACGTGTGATGACAGTTGGATTTACTTATCCAAAAAAAAAACAAATATGGTAATCAATGCCCATTCCTAGTTACAAGTTAACGACTGATTTATTTATTTATTGGGTACTTTCACGTTAAAAGAACAGATCAGGACCCATTTACGATGAGACCCACAAGCATGGTATAGTATTGGTTTGTCGCAGTTACAAGTCTCATTTAGCAATAGAGTTATCTCAGAACAACTAATAAATGAAAGTGCAGTCGTTGTATTAACATCCTCACGCTATAAGCTATCTGCGCGGTGATAGCAAGCGTAATTATTTGTAAATCATTATGTACCATTAGGTGACTTAATGTTAGTACAATGGGTAAATGCGGCACGATGTCCTTTGCAGTTATCACCTACATAAAGGTATCGTGCAGTCTCTGTGTTTACGTTTTTGCAAACATACTTACCTAAGTGTGTCATTAGACACTATCAAAATTAAATCAAGCAATGCATACACTTCGGGCTACGTTTTCTTTATTCATGGTTATTTGGTGTATGTCTAACCGGGCGAAGTTGTCTTTTACTATGTTTCTTTAAGTTAGGTGGCATTGCTAATGACATTTGATGCCATCATTGGAACTGAAACTGAATTGGATAACAAAGTTTTATATTCAAAGTTAACGAAGATAATATTTTATGAATGCCACTATAAACAACTATTTTTTTGGAGAACGATTCAACATAATTGTGTCGCAAATAGGCATAATATACTCATGTATCTGTTTCTGCAAAAATGTTCATGTTTTTTTTTAAACTTTACAAACAAAATTCCAATGTGTGTGACACAATACTTAGGTATTCTTTTTTATAAATAAACGACACCAAAGAGCTAAAGAATACGCTACCTATTAGTCGCTCGAATCACCGACAACTGAGGATATACAGAAAGTTTCAGGTTAACTGAAGAATTAAAAGTTGAAATGTAACCTGCCTGACGAAGGTAGGTAAGGTAATTGCGATATTCAAAATTTGAGCCTCAATAAATTTAAAAGTGTAATAAAGGCTAAACTTTGCTGTAAAGCATTTTATAAAATAAAAGACTACTTAGAGGATAGTCAGGCTTGGGAATGAGCCGCTGTAATGTCTGCACAGGTCATGTTGACATGTTTGTAACATAAGTTACACTTTTATATACAATTTGACATTACGTTTATTTTTTTTTTATACAATGACATGATCACATAGTGTGACATTTTTATTTTTTATTTGACATTTTTTTTTTATTTATTTGTTGACATTTTTATTATTTTATATTATTGTTAGTGTAAGGACCGTGTGAGACTTGCCGTGCTTTTTGATTACCAGTTATCTGCGTTCTGACAGTTTGAGTACTTGCGCGACCCACCCAAATGTTCTTTTGATCGGTATTGTTCGTCGGACAACTCAACAGCACTAGCTATATGGTTGCAAACTGACACTTGCGTGCCTGTCTTCAGAACGGGTCCACTTAAACTGGTGTGGTTCTTTCCTCAAAAGACCACTACAGAATGAACTTGCACGGTTCTCTCACATTATGTTATTTTATATTGTCTGGACTTGAAAAGAGACTGACCTCTGAGTTTGTTTCGGCATTTCTTCTCAGAGTAGTCAGATAGGAAATGCCGGCTTCATCTAGTTTTTCACATATAATTTGACGTGTAAAAGTGCCGTTTTAAGGCCTATTTGCAAAAATAAATTCATTGTTTCATATTTTCATTGTTTGTTTCATTGAAGTGTAGCGCTCAACAGCTATAATCCTAACAAGCCAGCAATTACAATGTGGTGTTACACTCTTACGTCTGTACAGCTGAATAATTGTCTTAGACCGCGATTATAATTCCTACAAGGGGTAGGTAGAGCATAGAGCATGGCGGTCGGTGTGGGACAGGCGGAGTTTTTTCTTCGAGTAAAGCAAGCACTTGAGCACTCCCCGCCGCCCGCGGCCCGCCGCCCGCCGGCACAGGTGCGACCAATCACCACTGCGCGCGTCTGTGTGCTACGATCAACAATCAAACTCTTATCTCTTGGACTACACCGACTAGCGACTGCGCGCACGGGTGTGTGTGTGTGTGTGTGTGTGTGTGTGCGATAATTGTTATTTGTTGTAGCAGCAATAGGAAGCGCAGCGCACTGGTGTGTGTATGTAAGTTTTTTATCAGCGGTTAACGGACGCACTCTGCCCGTGCGCACAGATTACTGTACCGCTGATAATGTCGTGTGTAGGTGTACATCCGCTCTACCTAACAAACGATACGCATCAAATATTTACCAAACTTATAAGTACTAAGGTACCTACTTAATGCCTAAGTTTTCACAAATCTAAGATTTTTATTATAAATATTAGGCGTACATGTACGAGGCCACAAACGTGTCATTATTGAATAAAATATTTTGTAGCATGAAGCAACCTCGACTTATTCCGTCATTCCGCACACACATAACGCTTAACGCCATCTGTTGGCGAGTAGCTGAACCAAGGTGCATTCGAAGCATTTAGTTAAAACTAGACTCTGCCAGCGGCTTTGCTTGTTATATGTACCAGGGTAAAAATAGCCTCTTTGTTTTTCCAGAATTTACGGATCCGTGACAAAGTTAATTAGGATTCGTTCTTTAGTTTTGACGTGAAAGAGTGACAAGTGAGTACCTACTTACGTGCAAATTATCGCGTTGATAATATTAGAACCTAGGATCACATTATTATTATTATGTGACCATCCATAGATAAACTGTAACTAATAATGTCAATGAAAATGAGTTTTTCCATACATTGACGTGTTATTGTATTTAGTTTTAACATCACAGTTCCAATCTGATTGCGTAGGCGAATATAAGTAGGCATATCTACAGTTTCTACGTACCTAGGTACCTTAGTCATCCATCATCATCATCATCATCCATCATTTACATCTTTGGAAAGTGTACCGAAACCTAATTTACTTGATATATTAATAATGCCCTTAATCCTTCAAAGCGTAAGCTGAGGAGCATCGACGCAGTCGATGGAAAACGTTGGAAGACATAATAACTTTTAAACGTTTCATATTTAAAACATATAATTACGCGGGTATTTACACACAAGTTAGGGTTGGTAGACACTTTTTATTCCAGTGTAGACATTTATAATATGTTGTGCGTGTCATAGAGAAATTGAGCCGAACCAGCGACCGTTTACTCGACAGTCGTGCTTTCGGCCACTCAATTAATGAGTCAAAAGAATCTACTATTTATATATTTTATCTATAAATTTTGCCACAAATAACTTTTACAACAACAGGATTAAGTTATAAACCTTATATGTTAGGTTTTTAATACCTACTATTGGATAGGTTTTTTTATTTTTATAGGTAAAAATAATGCTGTGTATACTTAAATACCTAATGAAAAAGTATTAGGGACATAGTTTTAGAAAATTACTTATAACAATAGGTACTTCATAACAATACTTGTTACCCCCCTCTCTGTCCTTCAGTATACATGTAGGATTAAATCATAATGCCATACTATATTTTATATCATCGTACTATTTTCTGTAACAAAATACGTGTCTAACATTTTAAATCACTATCATGGATATTAGAACGAAGAATAGTCCGTTGCCCCACACTAGTTTTCTCCAGTGTGCGTTTACACGCATACAATTTCACATACACATCACACCTACATTACACCCAATTCCTAGCGGGAATCAAACCTGCGAGACGCAAACTACATAAATGATCTGAACTGAAATTAGGTATAGGTTTGTAGGCGCCCACGCCACTAATAAGAAAACAAATGATGGGGGACACCGTTTTGTTAAAAAAAATGTACCTCGCGTGCAACCGACTTCACTGCTGAGCCTACTTATTTTCTAAAATCCAATAGCAGTGTCGGGAGTGCCGATACCAGTTTACCTACTGCGTATGTAAAGGACACGCGGCCAGTGCACGGCCACGCTAATTAATACGTCGCCCCGTTGTTTTGCTCTTTATTATGTTTGATTTACGAGGCGCTCGCCGACACCGCTTTTAAAAACGTTAATACGGTGGAATATAGTTGGAAATACAGGCAATACGTACTTACTTACGAAATCGAAAACACCAACAGAGAGTTAGAGGTGCTGCTATACCTGAAATACGATTAGTAGATGTGAAGTTACCCGTGTCCATAATAATGTCTTATTTAAAATTATCGCTAATAAAGTTATCGCTGCTACTCGTATCTATCAAAACTTGAAGATAATTCGAGTGTCCTAGGTAAGTTTTGAATCTAATAACGTTGCTTTTTTTCTTCACAGTCCGCCCACTGGCAGGCGGAGGGTCGGAAGGCAAACCGTCTGAAGAAGAGGAAGAGAGAGGTGGCTCGCCCCTAGGCCCTGGCGGTCCCTTCTCGTGCAGCCAGTGCCGCGGAGCCTACCCGACGCGCGAGCAACTCGAACGTCATGAGACCCTGCACGCGCCCAACACACAGGTGGATACAATCAAATATGTCAGTGCCCATTGTATTACGAATTTAAATATGTTAGAAAATTGATATGATACAAAAAAGTTACCTGTAACGTAATGAGTCGACAAAGCTTCTTTTAAATATAGTTCGGTTTTACTTCTTTTAAACCTCATGAATAACAAGGCACTAAGATTAGGTAAAACAAAATCTACAAAAATCTAATTATTTTTATTTGTTAACAGTCATGCAAGATCTGCCACAAAAGCTTCGCCAACGTATACAGACTACAGCGGCACATGATCAGCCACGATGAAAGCGCGCTGCTGCGCAAGTTCAAATGCAACGATTGTGACAAAGCTTTCAAATTTAAGCACCATCTCAAAGAACACTTACGGATACACAGCGGAGAGAAACCATTCGAATGCGCAAACTGCGGCAAAAAGTTTTCTCACTCGGGTTCCTACTCCAGTCACATGACGTCTAAGAAGTGTCTCGTAATGAACCTGAAAATGGGACGAATCAAACCCAACAACCCTGCTTTGAACCCAGAAAGAAGTCCATCACGAAAAAGGACTAATGCTATGGTGGCCTCACAGTTAAATAACAATATGTCACCAAATGGAAATTCCTTTCTTCCAATGCCTGCTGCCTTCTTTGCTTCGATGTCTTCTCAAGAAAGTAATTTTCATCGCCCTCCTTTGGGGCAGCCAGGTATTCCTTTCTACTTACCTCCTGGTATCCCTATGAGTCCAGCTGGTGGTATAGCTCCTTACAGCTTACCAGCATCTCTCAGCCAAATCTTTGAGCAGCTTGCTTCATCGCAATATCAACCAAGAAAGTTGGAAAATCCTGCTAGCCCGAAACCAACAAGCCCGCCCACAGCAGACCCAGAAGATCTGATAGAAGAAATAACTGAGGACGACGATAAACGTTCAGAAGGAAGCGCTGAACTAGTAATGGATATTGAAGATGAAGAAGCTGTGTCAATAAAAAAGGAACAAGAGGAACGAAATGCCGATGTAAGATCTCCATCTCGCAATTATGAAGCCGTCCCTTTGAACAATAACGCCGATCATTCAAATTTTAATTCAATACTAGAATCTGTGAGCGCATCCGTCACCAAACATTTCTTTAGAGCAAACATGGAAAAGCTGTCTCCCGTTTCGGGTAACGTTTGCCCTAGTATAGAGTCTCCGCCCATTTCTCAAGTCGTAGTGAAAGAGGAGCCCGAAGAAGCACAAAGATGTTTAAAATGTAACCTAACTTTCTCAAGTAAGAGTGAGTTATTAGACCATGAAAAAGCTCCCTGTGGAAATATGTTTAGAAAACACGAAGGTTTGGCAGCTCAAGTAGCCGAAACGGTAGCTCTTAGATTGGAAGCAGAAATACATGCTTCCATACAAAATGGAATAAGTGCAAGCGAAGACGAAGACTTTAATAGAGACGATCGCGATGATAAGATGTCAATACATGACAATGATAGGAAAATTAGAGTTCGCACAGCGTTAAGTGAAGAGCAACAGTCCGTTTTGAAGGAACATTATTCTTTAAACCCACGACCGAATCGCGAGGAATTCAAAAGAATAGCCCAACAGATCGGCTTAGATAATAGAGTAGTGCAAGTTTGGTTCCAGAACAATAGAGCTAGAGAACGACGTATGACGCAAACAATCACCGCATCTGATCAACCATTGGATTTGTCTACCAAGAAGTCAAATCCATCAGTTACATCAAGTCCGTCGCCATCGCCGCCATGCAGCATTTCCGTGACACATTCCGACTCGGAGGAGGCTGTAAATCTTAGCCAAAAATCGTCGCGAAGTACTACGCCTCATCGTACCAACTATTTGAATACTTATCCACATTCCAATTGCTCTTCATCTTCATTCACCGACTTTCGATTGTCTCCTTCGCCAGGAGAAACAATGAATGGACAAAAAAGATTACTACCCCAAAAACTACATGTGAACCCTTTAGTACCCATGGACAAACTTCTACAATACAACGACATGGCCCATGCAAGATCTCCTATTCTTAACATGCATCTGACTTCGGACGTCAATAGACAAGGTTCGAGTCCGTCATACGAACGTCCTCCGTGGGATGAAATCCAAACATCCAATGACATAGATGAAGAAGCTACAGTACTTAAAAAGAGCAAACTTAAGCAAGGGTCAGAGTTTAAGGAAAGCGAAGGACAATTCGTGTGTGATCAGTGCGATAAGACCTTTGTCAAGCAAAGTTCGCTCGCCAGGCACAAATACGAACATTCAGGTGAGTCAAACACATATCTTTTTTGTAATTAGTAATTACGTAAAATGTTAAATGATCATACTTGTCTCCGACTAGTCGATTTGGATTCTGCAAATTTTTTCTTAAAGCTAGCAAGTTATTTCAATCAATTTTTGAATCGTCGTTTTATGTACTTATGTTGTTATAGCTATGTTCATTTTTTACCTATATATAATTTAGCTTACATTAGTTAGATAAACAATACATAATTTTATTAGAATTAGGAAAAATGCTAAACTTTAATAACTTTATAGTCTTAGGCAAATATGTATAAGCTAAAAGTAGGTATTCACACAGTAGTAGAGAAGTAGTGGTAGAACCTACAAAGCAATGATTATATTTATCGCAAAGTCAGCTAAAACAATAAACTTTTTATCCACAGGTCAACGACCGTACAAATGCCTAGAATGTCCCAAGGCATTCAAACACAAACACCACCTAACTGAGCACAAACGCCTTCACACCGGCGAGAAGCCCTTCCAGTGTTGCAAGTGCTTCAAAAAGTTTTCACACTCCGGCTCCTACAGTCAGCACATGAACCATCGATTCGCGATCTGCAAGCCCTACAGGGACTAACCACTATATGCATCACTGCACTGGTTCAAGTCAAAGTCTGGTATCGATTTCGTTAAATTACTTTACAAATTCTATTGCACTTGTTAAATTCTAAACAGCACTTAATGTCAAGACAAAAGCAAGTTAAAATCTTTGAATTTTATTGATTGATAGCTATGATCTTAAGTATTTTATTAATGGTCGACCTAAGTTACATATTTTTTGGAACGAATGCCACACATCGAAGGCCTACCTATTTAATAAATTCATCGATAGAGATCTGAATATTCGCTCGGTGCTGTGACTCATGAGTGTTTCAGTAGCTAAACACGACACAAATCACATAATAATACCTAGGTACCTACTGTAGATACCTACTCATACAATAAAGTATTCATTGCCCGGTATTTTCGTTACAAACTAAATAAGGTCATTGCTCAACATCACAATATTTTTATAATTATATTTACTGTAGAAAATAATTTGAATATCAAATCCTAATTACATTACAACCAAAGTAATGCCAAATATCTAAATATTTCAAGTGCCATGTTAACACGCCAAAAATGTTATTCTTATTCATACCTAGTACCTACGGCTAAATGATTTAATTTTAGGTTTAACTATTTATATAAGTAGGTAAATACAATACCAAAGGTCAGTACCTGTAGAATACTCCTGTATGATTACATCTTATTTTTTAAACCATGTGTTTAGGTAGGTCAGTAAAAAAGTTCTTAGCTTAGCATCTACAACATAAGTACAATAAATAATACGTACCTACATACTTTGGGTCAAATTTCGGTTGATAATAGGGAAATTTGTGGCAATGTATAAATAAATATTTTTTTTATTTTACACACGAGACGAGACCCACATACTATCTCGATAAAACGAGTTATTTTCCGATAGATTCACTAATATACCTATATGTTGTCTATATTTCAATTTCTGGTATGGTGCCTACTATGTTAAAAATTTAAAACAATAATATGGTACCTACACTTTATAAACATACTTAAAGTTACATAAAAAATTTAATACCTAGGTACCTAACATAAACTTTCCAATTCCAGCAGTAGTACAGAATTTATAACCGAATATAATTAGATAACTTCATCAGCAAGCTACGTATAACTCGGTTGAATCTCTAAAATTAATAACTTACATAAGTTTTTTTTTCTAAATAGGTTTGTATCGTATTACGAACGAATCGAGTTCGTTCGCGCATTAGATATCTGTGTAATTTCTCGTTGCTTTATTATCTACTCGCCATTAAGATGATGATGATCAGTCTAAGTTGATCGTGTCTTTGAGTGAGAAATACTCATTATTTCTATAAATTACACAATTCGGGAACTTAATCCCGCCGTAACCAAATTTTAATATGTTTCGTCCCGGCTATTCTACTACGGCACGGGGCACGTCCTAGGGAGATACATTTTATTAATATAGAATGAGACTAGTGATCGCCGTGTCAGTTAACTAAGACCGAGTTATACTAAGGCTGGCGCTTTGTTTATGGTTTAAATAAATAATAAATAGCTATAAAGCGTCTTCATCACGTGGAAATGAAATTTGCCTAATGTAAGCTCTGGATTAGCTATTTATTAAAACTGTCAAGTAATTCATCAATGTAAGCATTAAGCGATGTACATTCAGCAAGGTATGCGATTAATTCACAATAAAGTAAACTTCTAATGATAAATTGGATGAATACAATGTTTCAAGAGATCGATTTATTCACTGTTAGCAAAACATTTTAATATTTAATAAAATTAAGCTTCTCGTATTGTAAAACTTACCTACGTATTAAGTGTTTAGATAGATTCAATCTTAATAATTAAGTTTTAAGCATTCCATAATACTCCTATGGGATCTCTGCTGTGTTTAAAAAACTCTTTAAATTAGTCAAAGTTATCGTCTGTTAAGCTGTAAATAAAAAATGTATATATATTAAGCTATGTGTAAATATGATCGCTTTGTTGCCTGTTCTTATTCAGCAGCGGTAGGTACATACATACATAGGTTTAGAATGAATTGTGCGTTACTTCAACGTTACTGCAACACAACAACCAATGGTGACAATAATTAACAGCTATTTATTGAACGCAATACGATGAAATAAATATTATATAGCTGTATTTCAAATTTACAAATATTCGCATATATATATATATATATATATATATATAGATTTACATAATCATACAAAATATCGAATACAAGCTTCATTACTTCCGAGTTTTTATTTTCTATGAATTTGATTACAAAGAAACCTTGTTGTTGATGTGTGATGTACTTAACTTTACGTATTTTGTTATAAGAAATCATGTTCAATCTGTCGCAACACAATTATTATATTAGAACAGAAAGTTCCTACACAAAATACATTTAAGAGATACCTAGCGATTGTTTCTATATTTTAATAAATGTAAGTACCTAGTTAAAATTATTCTTTAAAGGTTTCAATGCAACGAATTACCTAAATAATTACAAGCAGTATATACATAATACTCTATTGTATTGTAGTGTACCAACAGGAAGCTTGACATTCTTCAGACAAACAGTATTTATCGGGATATATTGCAGTTACTTTGCTACTAAACCTTCATCATTAACTATTGAAAATTAAGCACAGTATTCAGTGTACTCCCTGACTTCACTGATAATAATTATAATACCCAATAAGATTATCTGCATATATGTATGTGTATTACCTGAGCATGCATGTTATAGTAAAGACTACATACTTGTCTCATCTATCTCTTCTACTTTTAAATTCGACCTAAGTGATCCTGTTTGAATAATTTAATATTTTATTGTATTTTTATTATAAGCTATTTCCAAATTGTGACCGGTGGGCTAGATAAACCAAAGATTAATACTATTTTAACAATAATATGATGTGGAAATCTGTAAAATATAAATATCCCATCATTTAGCGGTAGGTTAGTTTTACTTGTGCCAAATGATAATTTTAAGGCTTGAATATAACTTTTTATATCAGAATTTTATTTTTACATGACAAGGCATGATGTACTATACAGATTTGATTACTTGTGCAATATGATATTGCAGAAAAGTATTTTCCTTTTATGATTGTATGATGATATAGTTTTAAGTATAACAGATAGCAAATGTGAATTCCTAATGCCATATTTGTCTTTGTTGTATTTCAAATGTTGTGTGATTGGATGCTGACTGGGTGACAGCACAAGGTTGCTGAATTATTGTTAAAATAAGTAAACTAGTTTGTTAAACTTACCTATAGATTAACATGTGTTAAAATATTGCCTATATAAATTATAGTAATTCATTTTACTTGATATTATAATGTATATTGAATTTATGAATATTAAAATATATATATGAAAATTCAATGCATAAAACCTCTTTTAATCACTCGTGCAGTGTTGTACATGGCCAAACCTTTTTTAATTCCCAATACAATAATATGTTGCTGACAATTTTACTACGAAAAACAAAATAAGTATCATTAATATCTATAGGTAATTAGACGTGGTGGCCCCGAGGTTAAGGCGCCCGCTTCTCATGCATGAGGGCGTGGGTTCGAAACCAGGCAAGTACCAATGTGACTTTTTCCGAGTTATATGTATTTTCTATGATTATTTAGACACCACTGACATATGGTGAAGGCAAACATCGTGAGAAAACCTGGACTTATAATTTCTAATTAAGTATAAGTTTGAAATCGCCAACCCGCATTGAGCAAGCGAAACGTGGTGATTAATGTTTAAACCTTCTCCGTGTGAGAAGAGGCGTTTGCTCAGCAGTGGGCTCTTATATGATGATGATGATAATATCTTTAAGTGTGGGAGTCTGGGTGAGCCAAGCTTAGGCACGAATGGACCGGCTAGACCGAAGTGATACCACTGCTTTACAGAAAACCGGCGTAAAGCAACACTTGTTTGCGGACCTAAGTATCACATAAAAAAACGAGTACCTAAGTAAATATGCTTATAATCCAATAGAAATAGATAAAAATGTAGGTAACTGACTTGATGAATAGTAAATAATGATAAGAATCCCTAGCAATAGAATAAATCTTAAATATTATATTATGAATTGCTGTTCGTTAGTCTCGCTAAAACTCTAGAAAAGCTGTGTCGACTGTCGACATGGTGTATTCTAATCAAATGTAGGCTTGTAACATTCCATTGGATAGGTAGGTAGGTAGGGTAGGATACAGGGAAGTATTAAAAACTCAAAAAAACTTATATTTGAGGCGGTACTAAGTTTGTCAATAATAAACATAAGATTGTCTCAGACAAAAGACCCAATAATTTAAGGAAATATCTCAAAATGTAAGTATAGTGTAAATAGATAAAAGTATGGACTACAAGAAACAATGTAGGTATGTACGGTTACTAATACCATAAACTAATACACTAAGTGTATTATTAGTCTATGCTAATACAAACTATAGACTATAACGACATACCTACCTCCTATGGCTAACTTACACAAAGATAGAGGTGCCACCTTATATTTGTAACTTAGAAATACTCAACGTCTTGTTAAGTGACTAATATTACAATAGATGTCACTGTCCTGGTGTTGCAGATCTAAAGAACTATAAATAACCAGTCATGAGAATTTAAATAACGCTTTTAAATATATTTAAAGGGTATCAATTAACTCATTACTTTTATTTTTAGTTTAATAAGTGGCTGCTACTATATTTTTTTTGATGACAGCCGTAAATTCAATCTAACGCAAGAATATTATAAAGTACACTGGATGTTGCACCAAGAAAAAAGAACTGAGGACTAATAAAATGACCTTGATACACGTCATTTATGTTTTGCATCTCTTTCATCAGGGTGACAACTATTTTTACTAGCTTTAGGATATTTTGTACATATTTATGATTGTTTAAATTCAACATTTCTATTTTAGTGTGATTTTCGATCGTATTAGTTTTGGTTTAGTAATCTATACATACATATAATTGTAAATCTGTAGAGAACTCAATTCTGTACATTAAATATATTTTCAAAATAACTATCAGGGGTTGGTAGTCGATAACTCGATACTGATGCTAAAAATACAATGGCTAAAATATTTGTCTGTCTGTCGTATGTTCCTTATCCCATTAGTTGCTACCAACGCACCATTTGCGTTGATCGAGAAAACTACGTCATGCCACCAACATACCGTATGCGTTGAGGGTACCTTAGGACGTTTATTGGCATTACATAAAAATTATAAAAAATATTTAAATATTTGTCAACATTTCATGGCCAGAAACATTTTTTAAATGTAGAAATACTGTTGGGTTTTTCTTTGAACTGTGTTCTTGTGCTGATAAGGAAACAACGGTTGGTGCCTTGAAGATCGATTTTGATTTTGGAATAACAGATGTTTTAATGAGTGTTTACCGCATGTTTGTGAATTGTCCAACGCCTGCGCTGCGCCGGCTCCATGCCTTCGCTTTACGTCGCTTGCGTATGTTTTAGGTCTAAGGCGAGCACAAAGCGTGCGCGGATGCTGTGCGTGTTCAGCGCATGTTATCTTAATACACCCTTAAGAGTACTTACGTATACACACAACCGTTAACACTTAACAGTAATACTGCTATATCTAGATATCATTTCTTTAGATATTAAACTTGACACAAATATTTTGGCAGGTAAGCAACACAAATTAAAAAGATATACTACGTATGTAAACAATAAGAATTATAATGATGGGTATTCTTTCAAAAACACCCCTTGAAAACAAGTCAAGCTGATAAGTTCCCATTTAAGCTTAAAAATTACTTGCAGCTAAAAGCCAATACCTATTTGATTTCATAAGTCCTTACCAGTCCACGATATCAACCATCATCATCTTCCTGCCCTTGTCCCGTTTTATTTGGGGTCGGTGCAATATGTTTTTTTCTTCCATTCTGTCCTGCCACTCGTCACGCTATCGCTAACTCCTCTGTCTTCCATATCACTTCTCACACGATATCAACCATTCAATAAATTTCCTTAAACAGTTACAAGTCCTCGTTTTTATTCCAAATCATAAAGCCTAGTATCAAGTCCTTTTTATTTAAATAATAACAAATGTCTATACATATTGAAAGGGGGCGAATCATGTGTGTTGACGATAGGATCCCGATCTCGATTTTCAGCCACCATAGGCACGGGCTAGCGGATGGTGAATAATTGGTAGGTTGCCGTCAGACCGTACCGGGGATATTTAAAAAAAGTAATTACAGTGCAAAATCATTTTTATTAAAAATCACAAGTTTATATCACACGTGTGAAAATAAAACAGTTTTATGCAATTTTTGCCTTTTAGTGCGAATGTCACCCAAAAGCTTTTGAGTATAAGTTTTCAGATAAGAATGAATTCTTATTTTAAAAACACTATTCGAAATATATTTTATTATTTCAGTTTCGAAATATATTTTATTATTTTTAAGTGTGGGAGAGCCATGCTTCGGCACGAATGGGTCGGCTCGACCGGAGTGATACCACGGCCTCACAGAAAACCAGCGTGAAACAACCACAGCGTTGTGTTTCGCCGTGTGTGTGAGGTTACCGGAGGCCCAATCCTTCCCCTCCCTCAATCCCTAAATCTCCAAATCCCTAAAAGGTCGGCAACGCACTCGTAACTCCTCCGTTGCGGGTGTCCCTGGGCGGCGCTGATTGCTTACCATCAGGTAATCCGTCTGCTCGTTTGCCGACCGATTACATAAAAAAAAATAAAGTTTCGTGTAAATCCATACAAGTATCAGTGATTGGATGTTTAGGCACAAATAATTGCTGCAACAATGGATAAAAATTTTCCAGGACCGCTAACACTAATTTCGATTGTACAGTATACCTTTGGATACCGAGTGCTTAAACAAACTATCTGAGTAGCGCACTACCTCGAACGCTGCATCAGATGCGAAACATAATTTACCCCTATTTACAAAGGTCGTAAACGCAGAATGTCTATTAATATTAACAAAATAATCATGATCATATTTTTTTTTTCATTTTCGGCAGTTAATAATTGATGACAAAAGTTACAAGTGTTTTTTGTAAAATTTTATGAACTATGAATTCTGTTATATTCTGTAATTACGAACAATGTTTACTAACGACTTCAAATCTTTTATTTTTTGTTCATTTCGCGCAACTTTTTGTTGTAATTTTTTTTCGTTTTTTCCAAACACTTTTCCCGAGTGACTTTATTTTACATTGAACATTAAAATCTTTTAAGCGGCGTCGTTTCGCTGGCGGTTCATTTTCATCAACTACCTGTGGAACAAAGATTATAATCAGTAACAACTAAGATGATCAAAAGGTCTCAATGTCTATCATGAGCTTACTACATCGTGAAAAAACCAAAAAAAACCTAACCTGGATGTTGAAGGTTTGGTTTGACTTCTAAGCCATAAGTACAAGCTAATACTACACAATAAATTAAATACTTACAATATTTTCACTGTGTGTGTTGTGCGTTGGTATTGTTTCATTTGATGAAGCCAAGCACTTGAATGGCGTTGTACTTGCCTGTAATTTGAAATATTATTGTTAACATGATTGCTAGGCATGTAAGCAGCAAATTTTGAAAAGGATAAAAACATACCTTAATACTAGACAATAAGTTAAATACTTACAATATTTTCATTTTGTATGATGTGTCCTTTTCGCAACAGCTGTGTTCTTTTCCTGAAACTGGAACAAGTATCAGTTTCTGTCGGTATCATTGCATTAGGTGGAACCAAGCATTTGAATGGCGTTTTACATGCCTGTAATTTGAAATATTATTCTCAACATGGTTGTTGGATGGGTAAGCAGCACATTGTGAAATGTAAAAAATGCTTACCATAACGTTATTACCACAGGAGCATAATTGTACAGAATCAACCGGAACAGCACTATTTAAAAGCCTTTTTGGTCTCAATGGATCATAATTCTCCGGCTTAAAGTGTAAGCTACAAATCTTTGCTGATTCATAAAACTTCCCTTTTAAAGGTATAACAGACCACCATTTCTGCCTTTTTTCCGAGTCCTTGGGAAAACTGAAACATAAAATTAATTGTATATTAACCGAGTTGACTGATTTAATTTACTGTAATTAGAGCAAAATAGCAGGACCTCTCTAACATTAGTTTCAACACTCTTTTAATTATTAAAATTTGAAGACCTTTCTGTTTTACCCTCAGATATAATACGTTAGTCTCATTATAAGAGCAACGAGGCCTACATAAAATTCAACCATTCCACAAACCAAAAAGTATCTACCTAACTTAAAAAATATGGTCACTCTTTAGCTCTTTGTTTACAACATACAATTTTGACGTCTAAGACTAAACGTACCTGTTTTTTAATAATTAAATATGCGATTTACACATATAAATTTCTAAACGATGACAAAGATTACTAGATAAATGTTTGTGACACCGTTTCGAACGTAAATATTTACAGATTTTTTAAATATTGGCATAAAATAGGTAACGATAATGTATAACTTAAAATATGGTATTTCTGGACTTACCTGTGAAAGATGACATTTCATGTTGGGTTCCATACACTTGTACAATCTTTGACTACGCAATACATAATAAGGCACTTTAAATTAATTCACAAATCCTCGAAATACTTCAGTCAAACAAGTATTTCAAGTCCATATATTTCCCATGTCAATACATGTCAATCGTAAGAAACGTCAAACTGATTATTCCAGTGCTGTCATTGTCATAGGAAATATAATTATGGACTTGAAATACCTACGAAAAAAAGGTGCCTACCTACAATCCAAAATGTCGCATAAGATGGCTGCCGTTGCTAGGGTTGTGCCGACTAAGTATTTAACGAGTATCGATACAATTTGAGTAAAAGTTCTACGTAGGTATAGTTTTAGGGATTAGCCAGCTGATTAACGGTATTTTTTTATGGGAAATCATCTAATGTCATCTCCGGCCTTTTTCGGGACAGACCGTTACTGACTAAAATCAACTCCTGTTCCTACTTTGCCGTCGGCCTAGCTAGAGCCCGGAACCCGGGGTTAACTTGGTCTCTTGATTGGCTAATGATTTTCTCAAGTCGAATTTGTATTCAAATAATTCTACGTAAAGCGTCTTTTAAAAAAATAGGACTGTGTTTATGAACAGCGTTTAATGGAATGGTGAAATAGAAAAAGATAGTGTTTGTTAAATGTTTATCTTTATATATGTGGAAAACCTGTGGGTATTTGTGAAGTGCTCGAGCACAATTTCGGCGCGTCTGATTAAGCGATGATATCTTCGAAACTACGTTAGCACAAAATAGATATGTAGTGAAGTCAATCTTATTGTATGTATCTCACTTTTTATTATTACGCTTGGTGGTCGCACTGGGATCGTCGCCAACGCCGCTCTGTCAATCGCGCCCGTATAATTATAAAACATGATAATTTGAACTTCTACTTATGTAACTAAAACCAATACCAAAATACTGACGTCTTACTTTAGCGTTACACAAAACTGCGGAAACATCCATTGTTAAAATAGATTATTTAGTATAATATATGTTGAATTTTAAATGGGAGATTATATCGATACTTTTGTGAAATGGTACGTAACTATGCCATATTGACATATTATTGTAAACAACAATTTTTTACTAAAACTGTCTCACAGACAGAAATAAATGTAAATATATATACTTTGGCAATAGATTAAAGTATCCGTGACATTTTTTTCTATCTATGTGGATTATTCTAAGTAATATTTGATGAAAACTGTTTACTGACCTATACAAAGACAATTGAGGTTGATTTTCATTCTTTTTTGCACCACACTGCACAATACAACAGACAGGCATATTGTTTTTTTGTTTCACTATATATATATGAAGTTTAAAAAAATGGTTCTTTGTAATTTACTGAAAAACCGCAATAATTTAAAACATAAACAACCGTTTGACAGGACAACTACCATGAAACTCAGGTACTCTGAGCGCTTAAGATGGCGGACATGGCACTTACCTACAACTTTGCTAATGTCAAAATGATTTGTTTCCATATTAAGCAACAACTTAAATATTGTTGTCCCTTTTGTCTAATACAATTATTGCCTTAGAAAGAGTGAGAAAAAATGATATTTCATAGTTTGTTTCATATTTCCCTCATATTTGTATAAGCATGATTGTATACTTCTATAGTAACACGGCGCCTCTATATATTTTCTATCTCAATGAGTGCTGTGTGTCACCTGTCATCAGTCATACTATCAATTCTGTCAAAAATAATGTATTGTAGTGCAATGCAATGCAATACAGTTGGGGTTATATTAATAAAATCGAGTATAAGTGCAACCAAAGCAACATAATTATTTGTAAATTGCAGTGACAGCATTATTTGCCGATGCAAAATATATAATTTTTACGTACTAGTAATATAAAATGGGTGGTAAATCAAAACAAAGTCAAAGGACTAAAAATAATGCAAAGGTAAGTTAGTATTTGTAAATACTTATTCAGAATTGTATGGACAATGTTACCAGCATGGCACACTTATATCATTTTTCACTTCAATAATCTTCCTTAGCTTTAGATAACCAATTACATTGCACATGAAATAGATTTCTACAAATTAATTTTCATCATAGTTTTCAAAGTCATAATAATTTCTGTACCTACTTTAAAAAACTGTAGTATACTACATAAACGCTACTTAAAGCTATTTTAGGCTTAGTTACACTATCATTAGACAAGATATTCATGGCAGAAAATAAAACATTGCATATTGTAATTTGTAAGGCAACAGTAGTGGTGTCCTGTCTTACCCTTACTGGTATGTCATGATAAACAGTTTACATCGGCGCATCATTGCATTTTGAGATACCATTCAATAGAGAAATAGCTTTGACAAAAGTGGATATTATTTATTTTGAAAAATGCATTATTTGATTCCTGCAATTTGATATTGATAGTTTCAACAAAAAAGATGTAATGGTGGAATTCAGAATTTCATAGAAATACTTGTGTTGTTTATTGTAAGACATTTAATCTTGTCTCTTTAGTAAAAAGTGTTATGTTTTTAATAATTATAACTTTTTACAGCCTTCAAGCAGCAGTCGTAGTGCAGAACTTCTTAATAGTGGCATAAGCCTAGACACTAGCGTCATAACTCTTGGTGGTGGAAAATCTCTTCCACCATTGTTCCCAACGTTAGCCACAGCTAATCTTGAACAAGGACTCAACCCAGAATTTCAGATATGTTTTAAGAAGCTCACCAAGAAAGATCCAGTTACCAGAGCCAAGGTAATTTATAAACTTTCCTAACTATTTCACACTTTATTTTTTTAGTAGACTGTTAGCTTACCTTATTAAGTTAAGTACTGTGTCTCTTTGTAGAGACTTAATGAAACCTTAGTCTTCATTACAATTTCATTGTTAACAATTCAATTTTTTTGTTAAATCAAAATATCTTAAACATATTTTTATCCCCATTCAAAATGATGTACTTAATAGAAGAAAGATGGTATAATTGAAATTTCATAAATAATATTATTATAATGTTTCAGGCATTACAAGATCTATGCGAACTAGTGAACAATGGTGACATAGAAGATGTCGTGGCTGCCCTGCCAACCTGGGCGCACTATTATAGAATTCTTACTACAGACCTTGACCGCAAAGTTCGCGAGATGACACAGGTCTAAGTTCTCTTCAGACCTTAAACCTTTAAAGTGTATTAAACCAGCTCCACGATATTATGACAAGTTTGGTTATGAAATGTGGGTAAGCGTGCGAGTGTGTGTGCAGGTGTGCCAGGGCGCGGTGGTGGGCGCGTGCGGGCGGCGCACGGCGCCTGCGCTGCGCGCGCTGCTGCCGGCCTGGCTGCAGGCGCAGTACGACGACCACGCGCCCGCCGCAGCGCAGGCGCGCCGCGCGCTCGCAGTCAGTATACTCCACTGTACACATCTGTGCTGCCACCGCTACGCCACGCTCTCTACCGTACTCGACGATCTTGTTGTTCACAGCAAACATTTCCTGATGCCAAGTTACCCGAAGTGATTTCGTTCTGCAAGGCGGAAGTGATGACCCATCTACTTGACAACCTTATAGGTAATACGGGAGCAGTCATAAGCAAGAGGTAAATAAGTTATCTTACACGACCTAGCAGTTATTTGTCATTTTGATTTTCCATTGTTATTGTATAGTGCACGCAATGAACATTAATTCATCATACTCAGCATCCCTCAATTGTGCTGAGCATCCTTCATATACCTAATAAAAACCAATCAGAAATCAGTTGGTGAGCAATTCATGGACCATGGTTTGAGTGTAAGAGAGCCAAGCTTTTATGAAATTAAATGAAAGATAAGAATTAAGTTGTGGAACGAACATGGTTTATGGGTGCAATAAAATAAACAGTTGGTTTCTGGCTAATCAACTTTGAATATTGGGTGAAGGTGTTTATATGCTTCAGACACGGTAATATTATAATACAGATAAAACAGACGAGATAAAATTTTTTTTATTACCTGGAAACTGGAAGGTATGACTAAATATAATTTTACTTATTAATAATTATATATTAATGTAAGTAGGTACATAATGTGTCTCCTTTTAATATTTATGTGTTTTCTTTTATTTCACGAGAAAATATGTTTGGATAAATAAAGCGATTAGAGTAAAGGAAAGTTACTAGTGAAATAGGTAGCAACAACAGTCTAGCTCATTATATGATATTTAAATATTTTAGAGGGTTACAATTTTAAAACATTCCTAGTTAGCTGCAATTTAGTGTCGATCTATTGCGAGTTGTAGGTAGGTACTTAATTTATAGAAACGACAATAAGCTAAGCCGGCAGCCCTGGCATTTATTTTAAAAATGCGGGCGAGTTACAATACTGTATAAATATTATTACCGTGCTAACCGTGCTTCAGATATTGTAGTCGTTCACTACAACGCCGACGTGTATTCCTCAGAATACAGAACGTAGAAGAACGAGAATTGCAAATGAACCGTATCCTCGCGAGCAGCCTACAAGGCCTGCAATGCTTCCTGGTGCACCTGCCTCCGGCCCACGACGACTGGCTGTGGGCCGAGCTGGAGCCCCTGCTGCAGTCCGCCGCCTTCTGGAAGCTGGCCGACGGCTGTCCGGCAGTGAGGTAGGTGGCGCGGGCGCAGGCGGCGCGCGGCCCGGGCCGAGCTGTAAGTGTGGGCCACGTGTTGCAGGGCGGCGTGGCTGGCGGGCGCGGGACAGCTGGCGGCGCGCGGCGGGGCGCGGCTGGGCGCGGCGCGCGCCCGCCGCCTGCTGGCCGCCATGCTGCGCGCGCCGCCTGCCGCCGCGCCCGCGCTCTGGCCCGCGCTGCTCATGTTCCTGCACCACGTGCCGGTAATGTCCGCCTCCATCTCTTCTCGCTTTACGTTTTCTTTTATGCTGCCTAGTAGTAGTCAACATTACTGACTGAAATGGGGGACCTGGTCGCAGGCAGCACACTCCCTGCGATCAGGGCCCTCATTTCAGTCCCACTAACCTAATTAGGAACGTAGAGGAGCTATGCGTTTTTGGGTTAGCAGAAGTGTAGCGTATCGTTTTACGCTAATGGCGAGTCAAGTAAAAATTCTTGATAAAAATGTATTAAAAGTTGAAACTATTAAAACCTGGTATACTGTAATTATTTTATAACACGGCAAACACAGCAGTAGCAGAATATCTATGCATTAAACAAACTTATATGTATATGTTTTGTGGGTCATCAAAGTAGATACAAACATACCATTTCACATACTGAAGTAAGTAATAATGAAGTTGTCGATAACGTTTGTTGCAGGACTGGCACATGTACTTGGACGACAAAGAGTTGCTCGTACGAAGATTACTGGACTTGTTAGAGAACGGTAATTGAATATGCGGAGTGTGTTACCTACCGGCGGTGTGCGCATGTGTGTGTGTGTGTGTGTGAAAGAGAGAGAGTGACGCGTATGTTGCAGGCAGGTGGGCGAGTGGGGGAATGGGCGCCAGCACTCCGACGGAGTGACTTGTGTGTAGTAGTGAGTGACGCGTATGTTGCAGGTGGGTGGGGGAATGGGCGCCAGCACTCCGACGGAGTGACTTGTGTGTAGTAGTGAGTGACGCGTATGTTGCAGGTGGGTGGAGGGATGGGCGCCAGCCCTCCGACGGAGTGACTTGTGTGTAGTAGTGAGTGACGCGTATGTTGCAGGCGGGTGTGGGGATGGGCGCCAGCCCTCCGACGGAGTGACTTGTGTGTAGTAGTGAGTGACGCGTATGTTGCAGGTGGGTGGGGGAATGGGCGCCAGCACTCCGACGGAGTGACTTGTGTGTAGTAGTGAGTGACGCGTATGTTGCAGGCGGGTGTGGGGATGGGCGCCAGCCCTCCGACGGAGTGACTTGTGTGTAGTAGTGAGTGACGCGTATGTTGCAGGCGGGTGGGGGAATGGGCGCCAGCACTCCGACGGAGTGACTTGTGTGTAGTAGTGAGTGACGCGTATGTTGCAGGCGGGTGGAGGGATGGGCGCCAGCCCTCCGACGGAGTGACTTGTGTGTAGTAGTGAGTGACGCGTATGTTGCAGGCGGGTGGAGGGATGGGCGCCAGCCCTCCGACGGAGTGACTTGCGTGTAGTAGTGAGTGACGCGTATGTTGCAGGCATGTGGGCGAGTGGGGGAATGGGCGCCAGCACTCCGACGGAGTGACTTGTGTGTAGTAGTGAGTGACGCGTATGTTGCAGGCGGGTGGAGGGATGAGCGCCAGCCCTCCGACGGAGTGACTTGTGTGTAGTAGTGAGTGACGCGTATGTTGCAGGCGGGTGGAGGGATGGGCGCCAGTACTCCTACGGAGTGACTTGTGTGTAGTAGTGAGTGACGCGTATGTTGCAGGCGCATGGAGGGATGGGCGCCAGCCCTCCGACGGAGTGACTTGTGTGTAGTAGTGAGTGACGCGTATGTTGCAGACGGGTGGAGGGATGGGCGCCAGCCCTCCGACGGAGTGATTTGTGTGTAGTAGTGAGTGACGCGTATGTTGCAGGCAGGTGGGGGGATGGGCGCCAGCCCTCCGACGGAGTGACTTGTGTGTGGTAGTGAGTGACGCGTATGTTGCAGACGGGTGGAGGGATGGGCGCCAGCCCTCCGACGGAGTGACTTGTGTGTAGTAGTGAGTGACGCGTATGTTGCAGGCGGGTGGGGGGATGGGCGCCAGCCCTCCGACGGAGTGACTTGTGTGTGGTAGTGAGTGACGCGTATGTTGCAGACGGGTGGAGGGATGGGCGCCAGCCCTCCGACGGAGTGACTTGTGTGTAGTAGTGAGTGACGCGTATGTTGCAGACGGGTGGAGGGATGGGCGCCAGCCCTCCGACGGAGTGACTTGTGTGTAGTAGTGAGTGACGCGTATGTTGCAGGCGGGTGGGGGGATGGGCGCCAGCCCTCCGACGGAGTGACTTGTGTGTGGTAGTGAGTGTCGCGTATGTTGCAGGCGGGTGGGAGGATGGGCGCCAGCTCTCCGACGGAGTGACTTGTGTGTGGTAGTGAGTGTCGCGTATGTTGCAGACGGGTGGGGGGATGGGCGCCAGCCCTCCGACGGAGTGACTTGTGTGTAGTAGTGAGTGACGCGTATGTTGCAGGCGGGTGGGGGGATGGGCGCCAGCCCTCCGACGGAGTGACTTGTGTGTGGTAGTGAGTGTCGCGTATGTTGCAGGCGGGTGGGAGGATGGGCGCCAGCTCTCCGACGGAGTGACTTGTGTGTGGTAGTGAGTGTCGCGTATGTTGCAGACGGGTGGGGGGATGGGCGCCAGCCCTCCGACGGAGTGACTTGTGTGTGGTAGTGAGTGTCGCGTATGTTGCAGGCGGGTGGGGGGATGGGCGCCAGCTCTCCAATATGCTACTGCTTCTGCTGGCGCATCTACCACAGGACCTCGTCAATAAGGATTTTTATGAAGGCTTTTTCAATGCTGTTTTGGCTGGGTAATATCTTATTTTTACCCAAAGATACTTATTTACTACGTGCACTTTATATAGATTTAATAAACCACATGTTGTTTCAGACTTGAAAAGAAAAATGTATTGAATTCCAAAAGTGAAAGGCAGCTGTGGATAACGACTTTGTCGGAATGCTTACGTTACTTGTCCATACAGCAATATGAATACGTGTTGGAGGTTGTCACCAATGTGCACAGAACGTGGCTGGCCAGGGTGCTGTCTACGCTACACGATGGACAGACCAGAACCAACCTAATAAAGCACTCTGCCAGCTGCATGACCTCCCTCGTAAAATATTGGCTCAAGCAATCCAATGAACAGAAATCTGAGAAATATGACCAGCTCGTGCGGAACTTCTGGCAAAACATAGGCTCCACGGTCTTGGCTCAAATCGATAAATCTGGAGACGACGTGAATGAAGTGATCCAGCTGATGGAAGGGCACATTCTGTTGTTGCAAACCTTAAAGACTTCGTTCTCACAGGAAACTAAAAAACAACTGAACATAAAGTTCGACGACGAAGAGCCCAACGTCCCTGTAAAGAGCGAGTCGGCGCGCGAGCCTGCCCCGGCGGCGGGCGACGAGGCGCGCTACCGGCGCAGCCTGCAGCAGCTGGGCACGGCGCTGGCCGCCGCCTACCTGGCCGCCGCCGCGCGCCGCCTCGCGCCCGCCTTGCTGCCGCCGCTGCTCACTCTGCTACTGGCCTTCGATGCCGAGGACCTGTTCGTGGCGCTGGCCCGCCAGTTCGACCAGCCCTCGGTGGCCGCGTTCTATCACAACGTGCTGCTGGGCTGGCTCTCCGAGGACGACATGCGCTGCGAGGCGCTCGTGGATATCGTCTTCCTCATGACCAAGTACATGACTGAGCAAGAACAGGACGATATGTTTGACACGTTCCAACAGGTAATTGTAATGTTAGTACCACGAGCAATGTAAGGAACACAAATAACGTTATATTGCCGCGCGTTCTTTCTTCCCTAAGTGGAGCAATAAGGCACCAAATAGACAAGAAAAAACCTAACACAAGACCTTGACAAATTCTGTATTTGACAAATAAGAATAGTAGCGAGTCTGGTGTGCGTAGCTGGCCCCGGAGGCGGTGGAGTGGTGCGTCAGTGTGTGCGTGCGGCACCCGCAGTGCGGGCGGCGCGCGGCGCGGCGCTGGCTGGCCGGGCCCGTCGTCGGCGCCGCCCTGCGCGCGCTGGCCGCCCGCGCCGCGCCCGCCGCGCCCGCGCCGCCCGACCCCCGCGCCGCCGCCTTGCTGCTCGCCTGCGTTGCCGATGCACCTACAGGAGGTACACTGTTCTCTCCCTGCATATGTATACTGGATTATACGAGCACTCCGCGCAGCACTATGTGACCGCACGTCGTTGTCGCAGAGCTGCTGGTGAGCGAGAGCAGTGTGAGCGACGTGGTGGACATAGTGTGCAGCGCGCTGGAGGCGGCCCCGGGCGACGGGGGCGACGTGCTCGAGAGCTGCGCCATGCTGGGCGCGCGCCTGGCCACGGCCCAGCCGCGCCGCGCCGCCCGTCTGGCGCTGCCGCTGCTGCTCCTCAACGCGCGGCTGCCGGTTGGTGACTGTGTGCCATTGATTAACCCAATGGGTAAAAGTGGTGGGGAGTGATAAACGAGGTGGTTGTTGTACCGTCTGCAGCTGGGCGCGGCGCTGTCGTGCGGCACGTGGCGCGAGGTGCGCTCGTCGTGGCAAGACTGCGGCGCCGCGCTGGCGCCCGCCGCGCGCGCCCGCTGGCTGCCCCGCGCCGCGCGCGCCATGCGAGCGCTGCTGCACACGTACGCTTGCTGCTTCTCACTCTACCCTTATATTGTTGGATCGCTGGGGACTCTTCACCCAATGTGTCATTGCTTTCAGAACGAGCGACCGTCTTTTGGACGCGACAGAAATAGATAACGTGTTGTGCCTATGCCCGTACCTGTTCAAGCGATGCGACGAGGGCGACGAGCCCGTGGACGTGGCCGCCGTGGCCCTGTTCACGCAGCACCTGCTGCCAGCGGCGCCGGCGCGCGCCCGCCTGCAGTACTGCGCGCTGCGCTACCTGGCAGTCACGGCGCAACTCAACTGTATTTTCGACGACGACGAAATCATGGCGGCTATCATCAAAGACGCGCACGCAACTGATGTGAAAGACATCTGCAAGGAAGACTTTCTGAGTTACGCTAACGAAATCCTTTTGCGGGCGATATATTTCCGAATTATGATTTCGCACAAGTCGAGCTCGCCGGACGACGACGACACTGCGACCGACACAAGTTGGTGTGACGAGCTACTGGCTGACGACTACCTGCTGGCCGGATTCTGCGAGGTCATGTACCACTACGCTGTCATCGAAACACTGCACGAGGCGTACGCATTCGTGAGTATCGCGGCAGGCACAGCATCGGCAGCGGGGCGCCGCCGGGTGCGGGCTCACGCCACGTCTGTTGCAGTGGGCCGAGCACCACCTGCTGCGGGCCGCGCTGGCCGCGCTGCGAGCCGCGCTGGCGCCCGTGCTGGCCGCGTCGCCGGCGCCGGGGCTGCAGCGCGCGGCGCGGGCGCTGGCGCGGCGGGCGCTGGAGGCCGGCTACTTCTGGGCGCTGGCGCAGCGCGCACTGCACCGCCTCGCGCCCGCCCTGGGGGCCTACGCCGACACCTGCGAGGCGGAGGACTTCATGTCTGGGAACGGATTTTTCCACAGCTTGCAGGTAAATAGCGGGCGAGACGTACCGTGGTTCCTCACCGTGCTGTGGATACAATACTAAGTGCAGTCGATGCAGGTACGCGAGGCGGGCCGGGCGGGCGAGACAGACGAGAAAGCCGCGGAAGCGGAGCTGAACGTGAAGCTGGTCGTAGCGCTGCGCAGCTGGAGCGCGGCGGTGGGCACGCCCATACAGCAGGACCAGGAGGGCGCCTCGCGGGACCTCGACCTGTTCGTCACCGCATACTACGCGCAGCCCTCCGCGATGCTCTTTGACAGGTTCTCAGTAGTTCCTACCACATCTAGCACTCACACGACGACCACGCCACTATTTAATCGGTTCACGTGGTATTCGTATGTACAGGAATTTGTCGGAGTGCTCGTGGCTGGAGATAGCGAGCAAGGCGGCCGTGCTGGAGCTGATGGCGAGCACGGTGGCGGCGCGCGGCTGGGAGGCCAGCGCGGCGCAGTGGGACTTCGTGAACATCGCGCTGTGCTCGCTGCTGGGCGCGGCGCGGCGCGGGCTGGCGCACTGGGGCAGCGCGGCGCTGGCCGCGCTGGCGGTGCCGGCGCTGCGCCTGTTGCGCGCGACGGCCGCCTTCGTGCGCGCCGTGCCCGCGCGCGCCCAGCGCGCCCAGCCCGCGCCGCACGTGGCGGGGCTGCCCCGCGAGTGGGCCGACATCTTCGCGCCCGACCTCAACTACAACCTCTTCTCCATCATCCTGCACGTGCTCGGTGAGTACCTCTATGTGACGTCCGAACGTCTTGTCTCCCATTTTGAAGAATATAGTGACAACGAGAGCAAAACGGAATCCAAAATGCGTTGCCGTTCCATAGTGTAGATTCCGATGAAGAAAACGAACAAGAAACTATGGTTACAATTTGTACTTAAATCAGTTTCACATAAAGATTATTTTAGTTGATTTGATTATGTGAGTAACACTAATCAACAGTGAAACATTAAAAGATTTGACCACTTCCAATTCTTTCACTAACACGAGACGTACACCAGCACCGCCCAACTCAACCATATTATAGGGAATCGAGCGATCCAGTGCCCGTGCCACCGCCAATGTGACCCTTTCATTGATCATGATAACTTCAAGCTGACATAAGGACCGACATTCTGCTAGTCTAACTAATTATTATTGTAATAGGTTATAGGGCACTCACATTTACAAATCAAGTTTGACATTAACAATGAAATTGTTGCAATTTTACTAAATTTGAGAAGTTTTGATTAAGCAAAGATCCACTGGAACATGTTTTTGTCGTGTAGGTCGATTATCCTGTGGAGCAGGACCAGCGTATTTATCCTCAATAATCAGTCAGTTTTAATATGCGAAACAAAGTTTTCTTTATGCGTAATCTAAAGTTTCCGTTTTAGCGTTTAATAATATGTCTCAATAGTCTCTTTGTCGTTTAAGACTAAGATATTTACTGTAAACCAATTGAAATGAACCTTTCAGAATAACATTATTTACGTCGTCCTGATTATTTGTCCGTCTATTTATTTAAAAAATTAACGTTGTGTCGTCAGCAAATTGTAACGTTTGCGTTAGTGGTAGGTAGGTGTAGAAAAAAAATAAGAATAATTACTAGTTCAATTATTATAATATATTAAAAAAAGGGATCGGCAGAGCTGGGGGTGAATTTAGAATATCGAGCGCGCGTTAGGCTCTTGCCCGCCTATAGAAACACCACTATCCTGGGTAGTCAGGCAGCTCGGCAGCGGCAGGCGGGTAGGTGTACAGCGCGCTAGCAGACGCTGGAAGCGCAGGTAGATGAGGCACGTAGGTAGTCACAGGCACGCAGGTAGGCACAGGCACGCAGGTAGGCACAGGCACGCAGGTAGGCACAGGCACGCAGGTAGGCACAGGCACGCAGGTAGGCACAGGCACGCAGGTAGGCGCACGTTTGGTAGGTGCACTACGGATAGTTGCACTATCCGGGTACTCGGAACTCCGGTACTCGAACCCTAGAATGTCCGTTACGTTCTGTTTTAGTCACGGTCCGGTTCTATTCCAGCCACGACTGCAACCTCCCGATTTCCCTTTACTAACTACCTAACTAAATCTGCCCCTGATAGTTGAAAAGACGTATCTAACAAAAAGTAAAAACGGAGAAAAAAATGTTTTAGTGAATGAAACAAGAAATTGTTTGCTGTGTTCGTGTGAATTAAAATATTTAGATATGAAAAGTTGAAAATAAAGCCCATTAAAAAGACCTTTGACATGGTTTAATAATAATATGAATTTATTAAATTATTATAATAAAAATATTAGAAAAACCTTTTCATCTTAGCATAAAAAATTAGGAAAAATATCACATACTTAATTGAATAGACGTAAATGGCTAGATGCGTCCTTTAATTTTCAAACGCCTTTGCCTGTACTTTTCTTCTAAGTATTTATATTATTTATCTAGTATATATTTTTAACAAAAATGGGCGCATATGGTCATTTCCGCCTTTTTTCTTAAGAATAAATAACTTCATAGATGTCCCTTGACTAAGATAAAATGTTTAAATAATAATTTAATAATTCTTTTATTTATGGTTTAAATGTTAATAAACTCGTAGTTATCATAATAATAGTTTATTATGATGACTACGAGTTTATTAATGCATTATTATTAAATAAAACGCAATTGATACAATGAAATATTTATTTAAAATGCTTTTGACTAATAACAAAACACAAAATGCTAACCTTGGCATATTCAATTATAATTTAAATTAGAACTATAAGAATTACACTTGAGCAATGTCACGGTGTTAAGCATTATCAGTCTTAAACAGGTACAGGTCCATTATAAATCTCTTATATCTTTATTTATCACACTACTATAAAAAGTTTTTTGCCAACAACATTATTATAATTAAAGTAAAAAAAAAACAATATCAAAAGAAACAAAAACATCACTCTTCATTTATATTTTAACTGGCTCGAAAACTTAAAATTATATATGACGGCGCTGGCGACTGATTATGGATTATTTTTAATAACAAAGATAATTGTATTGTCTTTACAATTGATTTTTTAATTTATTGGTAACATTATTATGAGCGGGTAACCCCGAATAGGGTAGTAAGTGTCACTACGAGGAATGGCAGCGGGCATCTTGCTGACAGCTGCCAGCCGAAGTGTACACGCTAACCTATTGCTCGCTAACCTATTATTATTTGCTCAAATTCTCATTCCATCTTATTGATTGTCGGGCACGCTACTATAGCAGCGGTAAGACCCCTCTTTGAGGAGTGGCTTGAGAGACGCCACGGCGTCCTCACCTTCCGCCTGACGCAGGTGCTTACCGGGCACGGCAGCTTCGGTAGGTTCCTGTTTCGAATCCAGCGGGAGGAAACGCCCGAGTGTCGTCATTGTGAGGACCACCTAGAGGATACGGTGGAGCATACGGTAACGGTATGCCCTGCCTGGGCTGAGCACCGCCGTATCCTCAGGGAAGTGATCGGCGGCGGCGACCTCTCGCGCCCGGCCTTCGCGAGGCCATGGTGCGGAGTGAGAGGAACTGGGACGCCGTCTCCTCCTTTTGTGAAGCAGTCAAGCTCGCAAAGAGAGAGTCGGCCTGCGTGAGGCAGCAATCCTCCTCCTCACGCCCCAGCAGCCGCAACTGGCGACACTACTGGTCCGGACTAAGCGCTTTGCCTCGTCATTTATACCGCGTACATCGAGGGATTGGAACAGTTTGCCGGCTGCAGTCTTTCCGTCCAAATATAATTTAGGTGTCTTCAAGGCTAGAGTGAATAGGCTCTTAATAAACTAGTGCGCCTTACCATCAACGATTGCATCACTGCTTACCATCAGGTAGGATCGCAGTCAAGCACTAGTTTATTTATAGCAAGTAAGTAAAGTAACTACGGGCGTCGGGGATCAAGGGACGATCTCCGGCCACCGTAAGCACGGGCCTGCGGTCGGCGAGTAAGGGCAGCTCGCCGCCCGACCAGAACCAGGCCCGAGTGTACGGCGCGTAGCGGTCCGCGCGCGCCTCAAAGAGCCAATAGACCACCACAGACGGGGGCCCTAAATGGCTGATGTTCAGCCGGGGTTGCGGGGTAAGCGCAATGAGGAACCGCGACCTCGGCACAGAGAAGGAGAAGGAACAGGAGGGTTTTTAGTCAGTAAGAGTCTGACACTCCCTCCCGCCCGACCCTGGGCGGGAGAAGTCATTTGATGATTTTCCCCTCACAAAAAAAAAAATATTGATTGTGTGATTGTGAATAAAATAGCGAGGAAACCAAATAATACAAGCGTGCCTTTATTTTTAATTCCGGTCGTTACAACGCCCAAGATAGAAAGTGACAACCATGACCGCCACGAGGCTCCTTCTGACGCTCAGAAGTGGGATTACCTGTAACGACTCAGGAACAGAATACAGGTCAGCACGTTAATATTTCACAAGATAAGGAGATTAAAATATGGAAACGTCTTTTTAAAATGCAGCAACAAAGTATGATATAATTCATTCGTACTATACGGGAACCACGTGCAGCCAGCACGAAAATAACGTCACCTGAGTTTAATCCTGATACTCCAGAGCACGATGCTTGCGCCTGATGCGAAACGATGGACATATGTTTACAAGAGAAACCTATTTCCAGCAGCGATTTGATAATCACAATGAGCAAGGCACTCAAGGAATTTTTTAGCTCGATTTGATTATGTCAAAACTCTAGCTGCGACATTATGCAGGCTTTTCAATGAAAGTCCCAAGGATGGAGAATGCATGTCGTCTTGCGCAAGTCGATTTCTGAGTACATTAATGAATCAGTGGCATACACTATCAACTAAACAGATTGTAATCACTTATATCAACTAAACAGATTAAAATTGAACTACGATTGCAAAGACTGTCATACGCTCTGTAGTTTCTACTCCAGTACTATTTGTACTTTCCGTACTAGTGGAAGCTAAAGCTTTACCTATTAACTAACTCAAAGCATCGACCTCTTTTCATGTTAGTTTGATATTATTTTTTATACCAAAACAGAAAATAATAAATATACCTACTTACTTTATACGACGAATTACGCAGCGAAAACTTGCGCAACCGCGACACATCTCTTCAACAACTTACTCGGGCGCAACTGGCAAAGAAACTAGTCAGGCGCCGTACAAAACATACCCCCCCAACACCCCGCGCAAGCTTCGCTTTATACACAATTTTTTAAAAAAAGGACGTATATGCACGTTTGCGTCTTTTTTATTAACTAACTGTTGTTTAATTTTTTTTTAACGTAAGTTATTAAGGCGCTTATGGCAAATACGTCTATGCGAAATCAATTTTACGAAATAAATAGGGCGCAAGTTGTTAGATGTGGTCTTTTTTTCTTATTATGAACTCAATTTTTACATAGCGTGTTAGACGTAAACGCGTATTTGCGTCTTATTAACTTCCTCTTAGAAATAGGGACAAATATGTGCCTTTTACATTACCGAACTAAGAAAAAAACTTTAGACTAAATGGACATTATCTACTTAAATGCGACTTTTCAACTAAGTTTCCGATAAATTCGTCTTTTCATCTTCAATCAGATTTAAAAAAAATACAGAAGCGTCTTATTTCGTTGTGTTAAAACCGCACTGGAGAAAGTTAGCAAAATATTAAAAATACAGGCAGATGCGCCTTTTTTTTCTGATCCCGGCAATGTATTTAACTCAAATCTGGAAAAAATGTTAGATGCGTCTTTTTTACTAACGGGGGCAGAAATGGAAAGCAGCGATCTAGCACAAAATAGCCATCGAGATGAGGCAGTCTAGGCAGCGTGACAAATTATAATTCAGCTAATAAATGTAATCTGAATGAAGTGAAAAGGTTGATAGCAATGAAATGAGTTGAAAAATACTAGTTTTAGTGAACTTAACACAATTAATAAATAGGTAGGCACAATAAGAATTGCTAAGAAAAGAGGACACAGGAAAACATTAATTGTAGGGTACGATCTTCATGACACGGTCAAGGTGAACCGGTCATATAAGGTCAAATACCAAATAATATGTTTCTAAAAGCGTTAAGGTGATTAACTAATACAACACAAAGACAGCACAACAGCGAGATCGTAGCAGGTAATAAAATAAAAGTATGAGCCCACTATAAAAGCAAGTCATTCTACGTCACATTACGCATAACTATTTCTAGGTACACATAATAAGCAATATTTTGCAACACTCACCCGATCTGGGGTTAACACTGACTTTAAAATGGTATTTTTTTTAAAAGCACAATATCAATTCGTAATTTAAGTAGGACTTGTAACGAATATAGGCAGGTGCTATATCGGCTCGTGGCTTCTGGGTAGTGCACGTATGACGATTGTCCGCGGTCCGTAGCAGTGTCGCGTCGTGGTAGGGATAGTTCACCAAACCGGTTTCCGTCAAACGACCACGGCGGCGCGCGGCTCATATATCGTAAACCTAATATTATTTTAAAGAAATTACAAAATAATACCATTCCTATTTTACGTTGCAATAAATGAGTTAAGTCATTTATGTAGAAAAACAGGAAAGAACCTAATATCGAGCCCTGTGGTACGCCCATAGATATGCTAGCATCCTGGGAGTTCACTTTATTTGCCTGTACTTTGAGCTGCCTACCCTGAAGGTTTAATTTTTTTTAATTGAGAGATGCCCCTCGCATACCATTGTGTTCCAACTTCAGCAACAGTGTCTCGTGTTCAACGCAATCAAAAGCTCTGGACAACACTAAAAATTCCAATAGTGGCGTGTGACTCTTCCCACGAGGCAAATACATGCTTAATTAGAGTTACACCGGCGTCAGTTGTGCATCGTACCGTCCCGAAACACCGTACATCTCCGGTTTACAAGTAACGACTCCTCCATTTGATGTGGTTAGGTTAGGTTCGTCAGACGGTTTCGACCCAGTTGCTCGACCAATGGCTTCTTTGAGATTAGTCACCGAGATTAGTACTTAGTGGCCAACTTGTGCGACCCGTGATAATGTTGTTGTTACTGTTATCCGGGGGCTGGCGTAGTGGGAACTGGTTTATGTAGAAGTGTGTCCGTGCGTATAATAATATGGAGTACTGGTCGCAGAGTGCTGCGAGGGCTCGATGACAAGCCCGCAGGTGGAGGTGCTGGGCGAGCTCATCCAGTGCGCGCCCCTGCTGCAGTGGGACGCGCTGGCGGGCGAGCACCGCGCCGGGCCGGCCGCGCCGCTGGGCCTGCAGCGCCTGGCGCGCGCCGCCGCCGACGCCCTGGCCAGCGCCGCGCCGCCGCCGCTGCTGCAGCTGGCGCATGCTACGCTGCTGGCGCTGGCGCGCCCCCTCGTGCTGGACGACGCCGAGCGCCTCGCCGCCTGGAGCGCGCCCGAGCCCGAGTCCGACGCAACAGAGGAGCGGCCCACGCCCACGCTGTGCCTGGACTACCTACATCCCGCTTTCACTGCCGGCCACGAGTTGCTGGACGCTGCGCTCGGCTCCGTCGTGTAACTATCTATTATACTACGACACGATGAATCTCTCGACGATAAATTCGTGGAGTCAATAGGGTAGTCGAATAAATGTGGTCAAAGTAATGCGGGATATACCGTATGTGCAGGGTGGGCGAGGGCACGTGCGAGCTGGTGGCCGGGTCGGACTCGTACTGCGTGGCGCTGGGCTGGCTGCTGCTGGTGGACGCGCAGGCCGAGCTGTGCGAGCTGGCGCGCGGCGACCTGGCGCAGCAGTACGCGCAGCAGCACCGCTCACGGCGCTACGCCGAGCCCGTGCTCACGGCGGCGCTGCGTCTGCTGCCGCCCGCGCTGCTACAGCACGGCGGCGACGGCGCGGACGCGGCGCCGGCCCCGCAGCTGGCGGCCGCCTTCGAGCGCCGGCCGCAGTACGGCGTGCGGGTGGCGGAGCGCGCCGAGCACGTGAGCGCGCTGGCGTGCCGCGCGCTGTACCGGCTGCTGGACGGCGCGGGCGCGGCGGGCGCGCGCGGCTGGTGGGGCGCGGCGCCCACGCGCGCGGCGCGCCTGCTGGAGCGCGTCGTGTGCCAGTACGTGGCGCCGCGCGCCGTGCGCCTCCAGCTGCAAGACCTGCAGGCGCACGCCGCCGACCTGGACGACGTCGAGGTCGGCCACCTAGCTTTTACATTATTCACTTAAACCTTTAACTGATGACACAATATTCAATGACGTCCTGCAAAACTAGCTTAGTTCTGTATCTGAGTAGGTACAGGTCCGTAGACAGGGACAATGAAACAATGAAACAATGAAACAATGAATTTATTTTTGCAAATAGGCCTTAAAACGGCACTTTTACACGTCAAATTATATGTGAAAAACTAGATGAAGCCGGCATTTCCTATCTGACTACTCTGAGAAGAAATGCCGAAACAAACTCAGAGGTCAGTCTCTTTTCAAGTCCAGACAATATAAAATAACATAATGTGAGAGAACCGTGCAAGTTCATTCTGTAGTGGTCTTTTGAGGAAAGAACCACACCAGTTTAAGTGGACCCGTTCTGAAGACAGGCACGCAAGTGTCAGTTTGCAACCATATAGCTAGTGCTGTTGAGTTGTCCGACGAACAATACCGATCAAAAGAACATTTGGGTGGGTCGCGCAAGTACTCAAACTGTCAGAACGCAGATGACTGGTGATAAAAAAGCACGACAAGTCTCACACGGTCCTTACACTAACAATAATATAAAATAATAAAAATGTCAACAAATAAATAAAAAAAAATGTCAAATAAAAAATAAAAATGTCACACTACGTGATCATGTCATTGTATAAAAAAAAAATAAACGTAATGTCAAATTGTATATAAAAGTGTAACTTATGTTACAAACATGTCAACATGACCTGTGCAGACATTACAGCGGCTCATTCCCAAGCCTGACTATCCTCTAAGTAGTCTTTTATTTTATAAAATGCTTTACAGCAAAGTTTAGCCTTTATTACACTTTTAAATTTATTGAGGCTCAAATTTTGAATATCGCTAGGAATTTTATTGTAAAAGCGTATACATTGACACCTAAACGAACTACTTATTTTCTGAAGCCTGGAGGCAGGCACAACATATTTGTTTTTCCCCCTCGTGTTGATATTATGTATATCACTATATTTCTTAAATAAGCTTTTGTTTTTATGAGCGTGAATTACATTTTCATAAATATATTGAGAGGCAACTGTCATTATTTTAGATTCCTTAAATAATTCTCTGAGCGAATGCCTCGGACTAAGATTATAGATTGATCGAATAGCCCTTTTCTGCAGAACAAAAATAGACTGGATGTCAGCAGCATTCCCCCACAACAAAATACCGTATGACATGATGCTGTGGAAATAACCAAAATAAACTAACCGCGCTGTATCTATATCTGTTAAATTTCTAATTTTTTTAACGGCATATGCTGCAGAACTGAGCTTCTTCGACAAGCCATCTATATGTGGGCCCCACTGGAGCTTAGCGTCCAGGGTTATACCTAAAAAGACAGTTGTATCTACAGGACTCAACTCCTCGCCCTTGACAAGCACACTGGTTTTTATCTGTTTAACATTTGGTGTTGTGAATTTAATACATTTAGTTTTAGTTTCGTTTAGTAATAAGTTATTCACACCAAACCAGTGAACTATTTCTGAGAGAGCACTGTTTACATTGTCAATTAATGATTGTCGTCGTCTGAGTTTGAATAATAGTGAGGTATCATCAGCAAACAGCACTATCTCGTGTTTATCCCTTACAAGGTAAGGCAAGTCATTAATATAGATAAGAAATAAAAACGGGCCGAGAATAGAACCCTGCGGAACACCCATCTTCACAACAGACCCGGCAGAAACCATTCCGTTTACTTCGACTCTCTGAACCCTATTACTCAGGTATGAGGTAAGAAGGTCCAGAGATGCACCTCTAATTCCGTAATGGGAAAGCTTCCTGATCAGTGTATCATGAAGCACGCAATCGAACGCCTTGGATAAATCACAAAATATTCCCAAAGCGTCGCTTGAGTCCTCCCATGCGTCGTAAATATGATTAAGAAGTTCAACACCGGCATCAGTTGTTGAACGACCCCTTGTAAATCCGAACTGCTTCGCATGTAATAATTTATTTCTATTAAAAAATCTTTGCATTTGATCTAAAATGATTTTTTCAAAAATTTTACTGAACGTAGGTAGTACTGAAATAGGTCTAAAGTTAGTGGGGTCAGAGGTACTACCTGATTTAAATAATGGAATTATTTTACTACATTTCATAAGATCAGGAAACACACCACAGTCAATACAGTTATTAAAGATTTGAGCCAATACAGGTGCTACAATAGTTATTACAGAGCTTGTAATGTACACAGAATTACCCCATAGATCTGCAGTCTTTTTGTTATTCAAAGTATTAAAGATTTTAACAATGTCTTTGTTATCTATGTGTTTGAAGGAAAACCCTGAATCGCAAGCTACAACATGTTCTTTGAGTAAAGACTCTGCAACAGTGGGAGATGAATTCAGTGACTTTGTAGTGGATACAGGAATGTCGGAAAAGAAATGTTCAAAAGCAGTTGCAATTTCTACATCCGCTTTTATTAACTTATTATCAATTACTAGACTATGTTGACTAATTCTTTTTTTAGACCTTCCTGCCTCACTGTTGATAATGTTCCAAGTGTCTTTGATAACATTGGTACTGTTCTTTATCTTAGAGCTTAAGAATAGAGATTTTGCAATAGAGCAAACTTTTTTAAATAATTTAGAATAGTTTTTTACATATTCACTGAATTCAACAGTATTAATATATGTCCGCTCATTATAGAGCTCATAGAGGCGATTTCTACTCTTATAGATACCAGTGGTTGCCCAATCACCAAAAGACACATTGCTATTAGCTGGAATAGTTTTATCTGTAAAAGTAGACTTAAACTCTGTTAGGTACATTTTAAAAAACTTATCATATAAAGTGTTAGAATTCTTATAATTCAACAACAAAGGCAATTTGTTGCTGAGTTTAGCTTTGAAAAATTCAATGCGTCTTTTAGTCTTCGGATTAACTGTGATAAATTGTTTTGACACTATATTTATTTCATTTGTTAAAGAAATTAACTGACCACAATGATCGGAATCAAGTACTGAAATTATTTCTTTGTTAACTGGCACAATGTCGGTATAAATATTGTCCAGGCAAGTGGCACTAGTGGGTGTTATCCTAGTTGGCTCCAGAAACAAATTCGCAAGGTTGTATGAAGAAAATAAACTTACAATTTTTGTGCTTAAACTACATTTTTCTAATAAATTTATATTAAAATCACCACATGTAATGATGGATTTCTTTGAATTTGTAAGTTTACTTAATACTTCATCCATTACTGTTTCAAAACAGTCATACAAACCTGAAGGTGGTCTATACACGCTTAATACAATAAACCGCTCCAATTCCACACAGGCTATTTCAACAGTACGCTCAACAGAGTAACTAACTATATCTTTGCGATCTTTGAATTTAAGCTGATTACTTATCAGTATAAGTGAGCCACCATGTATAGCGTTTACTCTGCTGAACGAGCTACCAATCTGGTGCTTACCAAAATTGAACATGAGCTGATGAGGTTTTAGCCAATGTTCAGTTATACACAAAATATCCACATTATTACAATTTAAAAATAACTCAATTTCTAATTCTTTGCTCATAAAGCCTTGAATATTTTGGTGAACCAGATTAATAACCTTATTACTGTTTAATTTGCAAAACGGACGTGGTCACATTGTTATTGAAATTTTGGGACCGGTGATCGAAATACCGCAACAAGTGATTTTAGAAGTCCTCTTGTGATGTCAATCAGACACTGTACTGACGGTGCGACATGGGCTGCGTCACCAAGATGGCCGCCAATCGCAATATGAAGTTGCGACCCCCTTTTTCATCAACATGTAAAAATGTATTCAAAGACATTTACAATATTATGCAAAACCGCAAAGCGTCTTTTCATCAGTAAAAAAATAAAATCAGCTCATGATAAGATAAAGGCTACGTGGAAAGTAATACAGAATAAGACAGGTAGGAACAGATTAAAACATTCGGAATTTTGCCTAAACACTGAAAGGGGACAGATTTCGGCAAGCACTGATGTAGCTCAGGAGTTTGAGACTTTTTTGCTAATATACCTATCAAAACAACTGCTCATTTCGAAACATCAGCCAGACTCTACACAACTTTGCTTAGAGAAAATATCAAATCATGCGAATACGACTTTAGTTTCCATTATACTAATCCTTTAGAGATAATAAATGTTTTTAAAGAAATCAAGGTCAAATCAACTGAGGACCTTTGGGGACTATCGGTTAAAGTCTGGATCACTTATCCGAACTTTAGCGCCGTATCTGGCTTTGATTTTCAATAAAAGTATAGATGACGGTGTCTTCCCGAACCTAATGAAATACGGTAAAGTTATTCCATTATAACCTTTTCGCCGCCAACAACTTCTATAGAAGTTCAGGGTTTTCGTGCCGTCCACGCCACTACTTCTATAGAAGTTCATTGTATCTACCTACTATAAAAATACATTTACGATACATAAAACATTTGTTTCTTTGTAATTTTGTAATATGGACACGACGAACTATTTTTTCTCATGCAAAACTATTTTCGGTTTCAAATAATTTTATATCCCGCACGCCAACGACTTCATATCAAGTAGGCCAGTGATGTGACGCGAAAGTTGCATTCATTAGAATCTTTATTTACTATAATATTTGTTTTCTTTTCCATCCAATAGTTTTTTGAATTCTATGAATAAAAAGAAATTCCGGTCAGTAAATAACGTATTACAATGCGTTTCAAAATTAATGTACATCTACCTATCAAATCATTTCATTAAAATTAATTATTATGTACTGAGGGTTTTCGATATTGCTAGACCCATCTCTACGTAATGGCAAGATGTCGAGTGACACTAGCGCCGTCAACTTCAATAGAAGTAAACCTGTGACGTCGTAAGCGCTTAGGCGTCAAGGTCATTGTGTCATAGTGCCGGGCGACGCGTGCACGCACATTTTTCTTTCCCAGTGCAGTGCAAAATGACCGAATATGATTCGGATGAGTTGTTGCGGCTGTTACAAGGTGTGGAACCTGATTCCGACTTTGATGTTGAATGGGAAAGCACATCAGAAGAGGACGATAATGAGGTAAGTTTATGTGCTTCATTTACCTATGAATGTCTTATACAGCTTAGAAAAATTGTAATAAAAAGTAGGTAATGTATCAGACAGAGAGGCCAAGGAAAAGTTAATTATTTTATGTACCTCGGGTGAAACAAGATAGGCAAATTTTTGGTTCATTACTAAAACCAAAAGCAAACCAAACTCGATAGAAAGAAAGAAAAGCATAGACAACTCTATTCCTTACGAAATGTATCGTGCTATGAACGCCAATGACTTGATATGAAGTAAACAGACTACGTTATGAAATGAATAGTGAAGTGGCTAATGTTACGAATTATTATTATTATCTCTAGCAACTCTATGCATGTATCTTCATCTCCGATAACGGATACCCATTTTTCTTAGTATAGATGTTCATAAAATAAAACAAATTACCATTATAATTTAACAGTTTGTATTTTTAATTGTAAATTTGAGTACCAATTTAAATTTACACATTTTTTTTTTCATTATCGACATGATGTTACCGCCATCCCTACTTTCGTACTATACATTTATTATACATTTATACGTTGGCGTACGGCGACACATCGTGTTTAGTATAGCTGGGCGGCGAAAAGGTTAAAAAATGGTGACACTAAGGAACCAAACAACTATAGGCCTGTTTGAAAGTGTTCGAAAAGTTAATGCTATCTCGGATGCTTTATCACTTTGATAAACATGCCATCTTCCATCACCAACAATACGGTTTCACTAAAGGTCGTTGTACAACTGACGCCGGTGTCACATTAATAAAGGAAGTATTAGGTACTTGGGAGGAAGAAGCACAGGTTGCTGTTGGTGTCTTTTGCGACCTCTCAAAAGCGTTCGATTGCGTTGATCATGAAACACTCTTGCTGAAATAAGATCATTAAGGGATTAGACATACTGCACTCCGTCTACTAAAATCATATTTAAAGGATAGGCAGCTGAGGGTTCATGTAGGTGGTTCTAAGTCACGGGACTCTGAGATAAGAATGGGCGTTCCGCACGGTTCAATATTGGGTCCGTTTCTCTTCTTAGTGTATGTTAATGACTTGCCATTTATACTTAAAACATCATTAATTTTTAAAATAGGTCGACGTGGTAATAATTTTAACGAAGTAAACAGCTCCATTCATCAAGTTCATAACGTATACTAAATGTTATATTAGTGATATTATAAGAGATGCATATTGTTTTAAAAAGAGTAACGGTGGAGTTTCTTGCTCGTTCGTCTCCATTCGAATCTACAATTTGGAATGAGCACCTAGTTTCACCGACGAACAGACTGACAGACTATTTTTCTATTTTGTCGTTTCAAAAGTACCCATTTATGATTTAGTTGGAATAAATGATTTTGGCTTTGAGTTTGCGGGGCAAGTGCGCGTAATGATTGCGAGGTATCGTGCGCGCAGGTGGAGATCTCGTGGTCGGCGGCGGAGGTGCGCGCGGCGTGCTGCGTGGACGAGCGGCGCCTGGAGCTGCGCGTGGCGCTGCAGCGCGCGCACCCGCTGCGGCCGCCGCGCCTCGACGCCGGCGCCGCGCCCGCGCTGCCCGGCCGGCCCGCGCACTGGCTGGCGCTGTACCTGGCGGCCGGCGGCCGGCTGCGCGGCGCGCTGCGCCTGTGGGCGGGCGCCGTGAGCGCGCGCGTGGCGGCGGCGCCGCAGTGCTACATCTGCTACTGCCGCCTGCACCCCGCGTCGGGCCGCCTGCCGCGCGTGCCCTGCCACCAGTGCAAGAACAAGTTCCACAACGTCTGCCTGGTACCGGCCCTCCGCTCTCTCGTCCGCCTCCGCACCGAACGATGTCAAAACTGATACCGATATTTTATTTTCCAGCGCAAATGGTTCGCGACGAGTAACAAATCCAACTGTCCGCTGTGCAGAGCGGCGTTCTGATGCACTCCGCTGCCCCCCACCCGACGTATCGATGTACGACGACCTGTCTGTACGGACCCCCACTGTGTATCATATGTATATACTCGAACCACTTATGATCCCGTATGTACCGTAAACCGTAAACGATTCGACTAGAAATAAACCTAATGCGGTAATATGCTGTATTATTCTTCACGGTGAAGATTATTAACAGTTACACATATATGTATTTTATTGAAATAAAAGAATTTTAAATTAAAAAACAACATCCCATAGTTACGAATAAATAATATGATAGAAAATATATATTTATATTTCAAAATCCTACTTTCAAACACAAGTCTCTCAATTTAAAAATATTACTTATTGGAGGTCTCAAGAGGCGTGAAATATTCGGCCGGGGTCGTGGGTCAAGCACAGTCAGGTACCGCGACTTCGTCTTTTTTTATTTTGTGATGGGAATATAATCAAATGACTTCTCCCGCCCAGGGAAAGGGGAGAGGGACTGTCAGACTCTAACTCACTAATAAACCGCATTCACAGAAAGTTCAGAAACTTTCTTTTAATTTAAATTGATGCACGTATTTCAGCTATTCCACCATATCCATTCAATCCTTTATTTGATTAGGAGCCAACTTTGTAGGGCCAACTGTGTCGAAACAACTACTCGATATCTTCAGTAACATCCGGAAGAAAAGTTTTAGTCACTTGTCCAGTGGTGGAGGTTGTATATCTATCCTGCCAATTCCGGATGGTTTTTCTCTGATCTTCTTCTTTACATAGAACATAGGCACTCTACAGTAGTCTGCAGTATTATCTCGTTTTTTGGCTGCTGTTTTGGCTAGTTTGTCTGCCCTCTCATTCCCGCTCGTTCCAACATGAGCCCTCAACCAGTAAAATTGAATCTCTCTTCCCTGTTCCATTACAGCTCATATATACTGCTTTATCTCTTTGATACTGGCTAAAACAAGCCAAGTGTCAACTGGGTCTTGCTAGAAATCTGCAAACGGAGATCAAAACTCAGGTGACGCAGGCCATCGAGTGCCTCTACCAGGTTGTAAAAAAATCCAAAAACCAGAGGCTCTCTGAGGGCGCGGAGGTTCTGACGTTCCCGCAACAAAAGCGGTCGACAGGGGTGACGAAATTCTTACCTGAATGGCTGAGCATTGGAAACTGCTGAGAGCACGGAGTTCGGGGAACTAAAGGAAGCACTGGCCGGCCAGCGGGGGATGGTGTCGGCACCTATCGCCGAAGGACATAACGGCCGGAGCACGGAGCTTCTTGCTGAGGTGAAGGAGCTAACGTCTGCGACCCGGGAGATCGGGAGACAGGTCTCCGAAATGATGGCAGGAGTTCCCTCCTACGCAGAGGTCCTGTCAAAGCCGAAAAGTGCATGGCGGGTCGTCAGACCAAAGCACTCAGTCATTGTGTCTTCCGGCGACGCAATGGAAACCAGCGGCGATGTTGTTGGTCGAGTCCAGCGAGCGTTGAACGCGAAGGTGAGCGGCCTTCAGGTGGATCATATCTGAAAAGTCAAGGACCAGAGGGTTGTACTGAGTTGCGGCAGCAAGGAAGAACTGGAGAAAGCAACCGCACAGCTCAGGGCCCACGGGTAACCATCTGTATATATATATAGGAGGGCCGGCAATTTCATGGATGGAAAGAGATCCAGAGTCACCACCTTCCAGGAGCCCATAGTTGACAGACCCAGGTAATGCACCTGTCTTTCAAGCTCCTTCCCAGGTAGTAAGTATCCACAGAGAAACCTCTTTTGGTTCGATACAAACTGGCGCACTCTTAGACTCTTTAAGTCGAATGGAAGCGTACCTGACGTAAGCGACACTACGATAAGCTCTGCGGATTTTGCGGATCCCGTTTGAAGTGCGTTTAGCTGCTTTTTTAATTAATTGTAGCTCCGTCGCTAGGGCCCACACACTCGCGCCATAATGGGCTCAATGACCGCGACGTAAATCGTTCTCGTTAATTCTCCATTAAGACTCCATGTCCCCTTAGCCGCGCGTACTAGTGTTTCAAAATATCTGCATCTTTTTTGCATGTTGCGGATATATGAGACCTGAAGGTGAGTTTTCTGACTATGATAAGGCCTAGGAGCTTTATTTCGTCCACGAGATTTATCTTGGTGCCTGTCATGAACTGCTCAGGCGGTTCAACAACAAGTTTTTTTTGTCAGCAGCATATCATTAATTTTGCTTGCTCCAAACCTGAGCTTGTTACTTATCACCCATCTTGCGCTTTTGTTGGAGGAAACCACGTAACGCCATTTTTTAATAAGCATTTTATCCTTAAAATGAAGTCGAGACGTAAACTTCACTTGGCCTGCCTTTTATTCTGTGTGATTAAATTTCGGAAACCGGACTACCTGTACAATAAATTAACTTGGATCGCTAGCAGGCGAGAATGCGTAAGAAGGCAATGTTCTCAGCAACTCTCATCGCAGCCCCATAGTAGCGCAGCTTACAGAGGCAGTTTCCGTTATGCTGCGTCCAAAATATATAATAATATTCCACCTCCTATTAGAGAATTAAAAACGTTAAGTACTTTTAGGAAACGTTTACGGCAGTTTTTGATTGACGACCAGCGGAAACTAGACCTGACCAATATAAAAGTTTCATTGATATAACAATGATTATATCAATGAAACTTTGATTATAACAATGATTGATATAAAAAGAAGGCGCTCGACACCTTCTTTTTTGCCATTTATATTTACACATTACACGAATATAGTTTCACTTTTACTCACAACGTTACACTACACATAATTTCATCGAGAATATACATATATTTATTTATTTTTCTCAAATACCCGTGGTTTGCTATTGACTGCAGCGTTCTGCCGCCAAATGCCTAGTGAACGTTACGTGCACTTTATTGACAGCGATGGCTTGAGACTTATTCTTATTCCTTTAATTGTAATATAATGTACTATCTACTAAAAGTTTTATTGAATGTATTTCTATTCTATTCTATTTTTTACTAAGCAATATTTATTCTCATTACACATTACACACTACACATCTCTGACTTACACTTAATACCTGTTTTTAGTTTATCAAATACATATTTATATAATAACTAGCTGTGCCCCGCGGTTTCACCCGCGTTTTTGTCGTTTCCGTGGAAATACCAAGATAAAATATTGCCTATATTATAGCCTCCCTCAATAAATGGACTATTGAATATTTAAACAGTTTTCATAATTATCAGATCAGCATTTCCCGAGATTACCGCCTTCATAACAAACAACCAAACTTTTCATGTTTAGGTATAATATTAAGAAAAATATAGATTAAGTTAAACTGTATAAGTCTGTAACTGTATAAGCAATAGCTGTTTATCTGTTCGAAATTCAGCCAGAGTAAGAATTACGACTACATGCGGGGAGTGTCCGTCCACTTTAAACCGGGTTCAAATATCATTTTAAAGTACTTCTGAGTAAATTATATTTTTTGTTTTATTTTCTGAATTGGATTAAAATGTAAAGGCAAATCATTTGGAATCATTAGGATCCGAGGTTTAAATACAGTTTGACCAACCACAGGACCAGTCAGAACTATTATTGCAACTATACGTTATTGCGAACAAATGTAACCTAAAGTCTCCCGTTACATAAATTTCTAAGTAAAATAATGGGGCACCAATTTTTAACTTGAGAGAATGTGATGGGATGCCCCTCGGGATGACACCCAGACCCGAAACAACAATTTGTGGATCACACAAAGTGTTGTTCCGTGCGGGAATCGAACCCGCGACACGTTGCACGGCAGCCAGTTGCCCAGCCACCGCACCGACTGTGCACACTTCCATTGATAATCTTTATTTTCTATTTCGACGATATCTTTTGATATTAAACTCTCAATGCTAGTCTTTTTTCTCCTAAATCTTGATTAATAGGTATTTTATTTTCAAAATAAGGTACTTTTCCGTCTCCAACTAAAAGTAACTTCAAAGGAAAATGTGTACTACCTCCTCCCAAATATGCTCTCATGTCCGTAGATAGTTTTAAGGTATGAACAAATTTCCATAATAGAGAACTTTTAAGGCAATTTTTTACAATGTCTACTTTAGTTTCTCTTACTACTACTGGTAAAGTTTGCCGAAAATCCCCAGCAAACATGACAGTAATCCCAACCATGATTTTATCACAGTCTCTAATATCTATAATAGTCCTATCTAGAGCCTCCACATGAGCTCTATGAATCATGGTACATTCATCCCAGATTATTAAAGTGACATCTTACAAAACTTTGCCTTAAAGGCCATTTTTACGAATAGAGCACACGCTCTTTCTGTAACGGTACGGTTAGGTTATGTTAGTTTAAAAGTGTAATGAGCTGTGCGTACGCCAGCTAATATAGTAGCAGCGATTCCAGATGACGCTACTGCCAAAGCTAGTTTTTCCTGAGACCTTACTTTTGCTAATATCATATTAGTAGCTAATGAAAGTTTTGCCGGTTCCGCCTGGAGCATCCAAAAAAATATTTTTCCCTCATTGAAACAACACTGAGCATAACACTATTGTTTGCCATTACCTGGTCATTAAAGAACTTGGGTGCATTTACAGTAATATACTCATATAATTCATTTACATCGTATGGCTTCCGCAACGACATTTCCAAATTAAGATGTATGTTTTTCCTTGGATTTCCTTTTCCTTAGCAGAGTTAGTTTAGAAATGTATTTCTTATACTCTTCAAACATCTTATACTTACAATCATCAACAAATATATTACGAAAATTATTATTACAGGATTTTATGTTGATAAAAAACTCTATGGTCCATAACTCATTAATAAGGTACCAACTCTTCCAACATGATAACTTTTAAACGATTGAGAGATTGAGAGGAAATAAAAAAGTATTTTAAAATACTTATAAATAAATACTCTTGATAACATAATGCTTAATTCCGATAAAGAATAATATTACGATACATATTTAACGCTTTTTTTCCTTCAGACGATTTAATAATTATTGTGATTAAACCATGATAGCTAGATATATGTTCTCGCGGACTTTTTGTAGGTTTTAATAGAATCTACAAACCCGTAGTACATCATTTTGTTCTATGGTCAATAGTTATTGCAGCGCACGCAAAAATAGGTTTTCGATTTTACTCCTTGTGTTACAAAATAGCAATTTTATTACATATCCCTAATTTTGAATTAAATAAAATATACCTTCCTCGATAAATGGACTACATAACACTGAAATAATCATTCAAATCGGTTTTTTTTTTTTGTTTTCGTAACCCGACTTATTAATCCTCAAACGACGAA